TCACTTCTTCATAAAAAGAGTGAGGCGAGGCATTCTTGTTTTATTTTTGGAAGTTTTTGTGGTGGCGATATATCACTTCACCATAGTATTGTTTTTGCGAGATTGTGCAGTCTACTCTGTTTGTTGTTACCAAAGCCCAAAACCTTAGCTCATTCATGTTAGCATAAGCATTTCCAAATAGTTCCAAAAAACTACAACTCATCATGGCTTTGCTACTGTCCTGATCATGGGAAGTTATCACTGTGGGGAGTGGCTTATCTAGTGGGCGTTTGATATTGTACATTGTATTGAAGTGACATTATATGTAACAGTATAGTCTCAATCTTTTCAAGGCATGTATGTTCCACATATATTAGATTGAACTTTATTGATAATATTTTGTCTAGATGTTAATTTATTTAAAATATTAATTTTTGCTTTATTTACAACAGGAATTTGTGCCTGGAGTCTTGTAATTAAATGGAACGCAAAATCTAAAAATAAGAAAAGAATGATGATCAAAACCCGGTATTTTTGATAACGAAATGTATGCTAATTTAACAATATATAATATTTTATCCAACATTCCCTTTCTCCTGAAAGCAGTGCCAACTGTATAACTGTCTAGGATTATCAGGCTAATAATAGACTATGTGATGAAAGAAAGTGACAGATAGCCCTGCACCTTGATAATATCCTTTCTTAACCATTTGTCATTATTAATTATTGGTCAATGTTCATTAAAGTATTCAATCTTTTGACACATGTTTATACATATATATATATCATGTATATAGCTAATTCAGTTTACTGACATGAAAAATTGAGCAAAACATCACTTTTTAATATCCAACATCCCTATATTAAGAATAGAACAGTTTCTGAGTTCAAAGCAGGAAAAGAAGGTATTGTCCATTGATTGAGCTTGGTAAGTGCTTCATGTAGGTAATTGAATATCATCTAGAAAATTCTAAGTCATTTTAATTTTGTCTTGTCAACTGTCTGCATTTGATAATTTAATGAGAAGAGCCTTTCTAACTATTAGACATTGCTTACTGAAGACTTCATTAAACTGTACCTGCATGTCAACTGATTATATAAACAAGCCTGAAAAAACGCATTAAAATCAATGTTCCTTTAAATTTATAGTCGGAAAGCTAAAATGTTTCAATATTATCTAAGATCTTAATGTGATACACATCAAGCTAGCAAAGTTAATATTCCATACGTTGCCAATCCAAGCAGATCAAGAAGACTTATAGTGAGGCAGGTATTCTATTTTCAAAAATTTAGCTTACTGCTCAATATATAACACAAGCTTTTGACAAATTGACTTACATTCTAACATCTGTATCCATAACATTTATATTGTAAATGTCTATAATGTCTCTAGGATACACAATATTAATCATACAGTTCCATAGCAACATATGTTATCAAAGCACCCGCTCAATATATAAACATACAGTGAAAGTTTTTCACAATAAAAACTCTCTAAATAATAATATCAAGATATAGCATTTCTTTTACTTTTTAATTAAAAATATCATTTATATAGAATGATGAAGTTAAAAAAAAAAAAAATTTTGAATTCAAAGCTAACACTTTTTTTTTTTAAATTAATTACAATACAAAAACATGAAAAGGACTGGCAATGACAGGCACAGTGCTTTCATGTTTATAAGGAAATTCTTTTTTAACAATAACATACTTTTTTGGTAGCTGTAATTTTTGTGGGTTAAGGCAGCAGGAGGGGACACATACAATATTTTATCTTAAGTCCTTCACTTTAATACCACACTAAATACTGAAATTGCTCCTACAGACAATAGAAAATTGGAATTCACAAAAAAGAGCACAGAAAATGACAATAACAAGAACTAATATTTGTAAATAAAACTACCAGGTGCATGTATAATATAGCTCCAAGAAATTGACAATACTAATATTTATAGAACAAACTTGAATTTTCTGTTTATTATAAACATTTTTTTTCTTTTGACATTACAATTGGAAAGACTTAAATATTCTATATTGGCTGAATTTAAGCAAGACACCAGTGAAAATATAGAGTATATGTTTCACTGCAGTGAAAAATAATTTTTTACAGTGAAAATCCGGAAAATGAAAATACGCATTTTATTTCATCAATATTTAAGCTATAAGTATATCATAAATACTTACAGCTTTTAGAAGAACTAACAATGCATAAATTCATATAAAAATCATATTCAGAATAAACCTAAATGAAATTATTTTCTTGAACGACACATTCATCTTATATGATTTTTACATAATTTGTATTTACGCTCCATTAGCACAATAAATATCAAAGGTTTTAGCAAGAAGATAAAAAAAAGTTTAAAAAATCATCTTGGTTTTTTCCCATTATTTAAATAATGTTATACATGCGTATATAAGAAAATATAAGAATTTTTGCAAAAATTTATTTAACATAACTTTTCAAGAGCAGCAATTTAAGATAAAACATAAGTATGATATTTCTGAAAATATGGCTGTTAAAGGCATTCCTGCTGATATAATGAGACAATATTAATAAAAAAAAAAATTCTTAAATTTATTTTTAATGTGCAACAATAATATTATTTTTGTAAATATATTGATAGAATTTTAATGTGGGACAATAAAATTGTCAACTTTCGCATTGACCACACCCATTATGACTGAATTTCAAGGAAAATCTATAATGAAATTAAATACTTACTCAATAAAACAAAGAATGAACTTTATAAAGGAGACTATATAATGCCAAAAGTCAATATCCTAAATTAATCCAATAGAGACTCAGTTAAGAACACTATTTTTGGTATTAATAGTAAATTCCTAAATAATTTCCATCTTGAAAGTATAATACTAAATGAACATTGTGAAAAAAACAGCTTAAACTGAATGTGACAATATCATAGAGAATGTTTCCTTTGGTTGCTATGGAAACACATTAATGAAAATACAGGTAGTGCGAGGGTGTTATATTTCCCTGACTATGAATGTTGTTTAACAATTTACCCAATATATTCAATAATACTTGTTTATCCTTGATATGTGTATCAATATTTCATCACATGCTGTAACATTTTCTATATTTCCCTTCTAATTTCACAATTTCTCATAACAACAACATAACAAATTTAACACCTCCACCCATCTGTGGTTTTAATATAAATAGCAGCAATGTGATAATGATGAGTAAATTAAAGGTAGGGCAGCACACTAATTGCAAGCTATAAATATTTTGAAAGTATTAAGAAATAATGGATACATATTTAAAGTGTTTAAAATGCCTGTTTCTCATGAAATACAATTTTTATCATTAAGTACACTTCTTTAAAATACTTATCAATTTAAAGGAACTCCACTGTCAGGTAAAAAAAGTCTCAGAATTTCTTACAAATATCAGCATGAACACTTAAAACAGAAAGATGTGCAAAACATAATGAACAATTATATTCTCAGAAACAAGGTGAAAGTCGTATTTTTGTTCTATTTTTAGCCCAATTTGAATTAAAAGCATTTAAGGTCATTTTGAACATTTACCTGTAGAATGATTATTCTGGAAAAACGGAGTGAGTCAATGATTTGAAATTTTGCACATACAAGTTAATTTGTCTTGACCTACATCAATTTATGATAGAACATTAATCTCAAAAGAATATTTCCAATCCCATCATTTAAAAAAACTCAGTGGAGTCCCTTTAACAATTGACATAACCATTTATAATTCATAATTATGTATTTTTTAACCTAAAAAAATTTGTACAAACAGTGATATAAATAATTCAAAATACATTTTTTTATTCTTAAATATAAAAAATGTTGATTTTATAATGATTCACATTAAAATTTCATGACTTCAATTATCAAGTAGATTCTAGATTTTAACCTGGTACAGGTATATGCTGGTACATACCAAATTGCACTAACATATAAAACAACACAAAATTAACTTATATTTTGCTGTTAGGTTAGCTCAAAAGGTAAAGCGATGGACTGTGAATCGGGTGATCCAAGTTCAATTCCCGCGCAGGTTATTTTGTTGTGATTAATCATGAAATCCTTTCTATGATCATTCGCACTGTACCTCTGCACTGGCATGCACAGAAGTTTCAGTTCCTTGCGAAAGTTAAAGCAACTAGTACTGGTAAACTGCTTGACAGCCCGCACAGGATCAATGCGGTGGCAGAACTTTGCTCTGGTAAATTCAATGTGGCTTTCAGTCGGAAACTGGAGAGCACCGCCACCAACTTAAATATTTCAACTTGTACTTCCATATTTGGTTTGTCTAAAGATAGCTATAATAAGGGTGACAAGCATGGTATCTGACTTTAACTTTTGGATAACATGAAATCTTTTGGACAAAATGAAACAGCTAAAAATAACCCGGAATATGGTACATATATCTCATCTATATTATTTGATATACAGAATACATTTTCTTGTTATAAAAAGTATAAACCTTTGCTAAGAAAGCACTTTCCACGGCTGTTACTGACTTGTGGTGATATTTTTTTCTGATTTTTTCAACAATCTTTTCTAACTGATTAATTCAAAACAGTGCTATTTTAGCACATTATACCTTGATCAAACTTTATCAAAAGTCACAAGGGTTAGCCATCCTGTATAATAATATTACTTGTATCATTAAATCCTTTGGCAGGAAATGGAATATTACAAGATTAGTCAATATATATAAACCATATGAATGGTGGGTGAGTCAATGTGTTAATATACAGTTTATTTCATATCTCTTTCATGCCAATATTATTAGTTTGGTCTTTATTGTTACACTGTTAGCCTTGTTACGGTCATTATTATGACTACTTTTCAGCTGGACAGAGACATCAGGTGGTTTTGTAACCAGTATAGAACCTGGAAATCTTTCATCTTGATATCCAAAAATTGCTAATGGACAGTTGCAAAGATGGAAGATGGTCAAATCTATTTAAAAGTTAAAAAGGTAAGCCTCAGAAAATAGTCAGAAGGTGAAATGATATCAGCATTACCTGAAGGTCAATATCATTATCTGGTCCACTACGGCACTGTCCAATGTCTTCTACTTGTATAATCTCCATCATTCCTAGCTCCACTGATACAGCAGTCAGACTCACCTCTCAGCATAACAATCATCAGTCTGAAAATATTACATTTACTTGTTACAAAAAAGACTCTTGTATTAAAGGTCATAATACCAAGATGACATATCCTATAAGAACAACTTTTGTTGGCTTGATTGGTGGGCTGATGGATGTCTACTTTACACATACAAAGGGAAAAAGGCTAAATTTACATTTTTCTTGTGATTTGCAATACCCTAGATGCGTTTAAATAGACTAGTACAAATAAAGGAAAGATATCAATGATGTTAGAAATTATTTTTGTCAAATGAGTTATGTACTGAATGCCTGAAATGGCAAACAGAACCTTATCAAAAACAAACAAACAAATACTGATACTTTTTCAGTCAAAACTATTGACAATTTGAATACTAGGAGCCATGATAGATTGTATTATTTTTATTTATTTTTTAGTCAAAAGTTCATAGGTCAAGGTGAAATAATTACCTCTTTGTGTTATTTGTGTAAATTACTTTTCCAGCACTGAGAAAATGGATAGCCTAGGTCTTTGGACTGCTCTTGTTAAATACTAGACAATAGTAACTTTATAACACTGAATGACGCTTCAGCAAATTTCAAAAAGAAAAATAAACAAGAAACATGGCAATGCCATGAAACCAGGTTTTCAATTATCACCATTGTAGATATATATGTTGTAGTTGAAATACAAGCAACAAACAATGTAACTTTGTGCAATGTAAATCATGAAAAATGAATTTTCTATTTTTAGTAACTGTAACTTTGACCCTTAAGGGGGCCAAAAATCCATCTCAAGTGAGGTCTTTATAAAAAACTTGTTTAACATCAAATTTCATAATAACTAGTCATACAATCACAAAACTCCGACAATAAGCATAAATACTCTATATTAGGAAAAAAACAAAGGGCCATAAATAGGTCCAAAATTATCCAATCACAAAACCCAACAATATGCATCAGGGCACTTGATGACAAAGCTTCTGTGAAAGTTTGAACAAAATCCCTTGAGAAATGTAGGAGGAGTTGCGCACAGAAGAAATTGTTCACTATATATTCTGTATAAAGAAAAAAACAAAGGGCCATAATTAGGTCAAACATTATCCAATCACAAAACCCCAACAATATTTATATGGACACTTGATGACAAAGCTTCTGTGAAAGTTTGAACAAAATCCGTTGAGAAATGTAGGAGGAGTTGTGCACAGAAGAAATTGTTCACTATATATTCTATATAAGGAAAAAAACAAAGGGCCATAATTAGGTCAAATATTATCCAATCGCAAAACCCTATCAATATGCTCAAGAGCATTTGATGAAAAAGCTTCTGTGAAAGTTTGAACAAAATCCCTTAAGAAATGTAGGAGGAGTTGTGCACAGAAGAAATTGTTCACTATATATTCTATATTAGGAAAAAAACAAAGGGCCATAATTAGGTCAAATATTACCCAATCACAAAACCCTGACAATATGCGCCAGGGCACTTGATGACAAAGCTTCTGTGAAAGTTTGGTTAAAATCCGTTGAGAAATGTAGGAGGAGTTGCGCACAGAAGAAATTGTTTACGCCCGCCCGGCGACATACCTCAATCTGATAACCAGTTTTTTCCTTTGGAAAACCTGGTTAAAAAATTGGTAAATTTTAATTACATATCATTCTCCAATTTCACCAGAAATGGTTTAGTCAGGGTCTGTCCATGATTTCAAAGATATCATTCAGTTATGACAAATGATCATGTTCACATGTGGGATATGTACACACTCAACGTCCTAAACGATAAAAGTGATATGAGCAAATAATTTTGATTTAAACTAATTATATAATAATTGTTCACACTAGCAACACTTCCAAAACAAAAAAATAGTTAAAACTTAAAATAATTTGCATCCATTTCTATAATCTATAAGCCTTCGATATGCATAAGAATCAAACAGGAAAGAATATGTTTGAACTGTTCATAAGTTTTAATGAATTTTTATATTGGTTTTAAACTTTAACGTAATATTTTTTCTTGAAAAAGCATACAACTCTTTTAAAATGTAAAAATAATTTTATCTAAAATAACATAATTATGTGAATAAGTTGAATAAGGTTGTGCTTAAAGAAAGCAATAGATACAACCATGGACACTTAATTTTAATACATCTGGTGTTACCTGAAATGAATGATACCCTAAAATATATGAACATTTCATGTCTATAAGTAAGAAGTATTACATTAAAGAATTTCTTTGGTGATGAAATAACCATATTAAGTTGTAATTTGGTTGTAATTGCTCTTTTTCAACAACATTTGTGAGTTTTCCTTCAGTATTGTGTTTTATTTCTTTAAGATATTTTTCTTTTTGTTAACTGCCTGTAATAAAATTTACAGGCAGTAACACATGAGATGTAGATTTATATATACACATAAGATGTATGTTGTAAATTTCAATGATAAAAATTTCTGATTGTCTTGAAAAATGTAGGTGTTGTGTTAGAAGAGTCATTCAGCCTATAATTTATCAATTTGTCAAGACAGCAAATTATTTCATTTCAGGTGTGTGAAACGCTTAGCTTTAATCAAATATTTTGCCAGCATTTCTTTAATATTTACCAGTTACATTTAAGCAAAGTCAATCAGTGAATTTATAAGCTAGCAATAGTGATATTACCTAATATGAATTACACACTAGCTACAAATTAATGCTTTTAAGTATGTCAATTAGAAGCTGATGTACTTTAGCAGTTTGTTGTTTAGAATCTCTGACATAAACTGATTGATTGCCTGTCAGAAAAGGTCCATTAAGAGAACATAACTAGCCCAGCATTAGTGAAAGTATATTGAGACTTCATTTGTCTTAAATACACCAAGAAGATGTACTTTAAGCAGAGATATCTCCCTGGAAACCATTGCGTCTTGGCTATTTTTGAAACAAGAGGACCATGATGGCCCTGAATCACCCACCTACCTAATTAACATGGACAAGATTTCATTATTAGGTCATCCATATTAAACTTCAACAATATCAGCCAAGCAGTTCAGGAGATTTTTATTGCTTTCAGAATTATGCCCCTTGCCTAAAAACTACCTCTTATCATGACTCTTAAATACTTAAGCTTCTTTTTGATACTTTTAAAGTTGTTTGAGAAAAGTTTTTGCATGATGACAGACACAGAAATCATTTTTTCTTCAAAACACACAAGCTGAAAATAGTATTATAAAATGATAAATTTCACAAACTTTTGAATTAGCAAGTTTAGTTCTTGATTAGACAAGGATTTCACATCAAGTTTCACTGTGACCATAATCTTTTACCAAATGACCTCAAAATCTATAGTATTTACCTTATAACCATCCTGCAATGTCCCTTATAAATTGTGTCACTTTGACCTTGACATTTTTTGGTTTTTGCTGGATTATTAGTCATACTGACACAATAAAGATAGCAGGATAGCTTCCTAACATGAAAGAATCAAAAGTCCTTGAATGTCAGGATTCAAACCCAAACAAGTGCAGGGGCAGTGATTTGAAGCATAACTTGTCCTAAGAGTCACTATGCCTTTTACCAAAACACCTCAAGATCTATATTGGGTCATCTACTGGTCCCTCCCAACTAAGGAAACCACAGCTTATTCCTTCTCAAGTTAATGATGATCAGACTAGAATAAAAAAGATGTATGCAAGTACAGATGTATTCATAGACAACCCTATTACATTATGCTTCAAACTTTCTAAGTCTGGGGGCATGATAATGTCATTTAGCTACATGATGAAGCAAAGTTGAACTAATTAGACAAGACAATTTTGCTTGTATATAGGTATTTAATTAACTACAGGTCAAAAATACCTGTTAAATATGTGATGATTGACATATTTAGAAAATAATCATTGCAGGAAATATGTAATTATATAAGTCTGTACCTGAATCATTAAAATATTCTACTTTTATTCTTGGAAGCATATAGAGGTTGGTGGCTCTGTTTAGGTGCTCAATGTGTCTGAAATAATGCACAAAGAGGCACCTGAGATAAATATGCACCAGTTTAGTAGCTGGAAAATCATGATATATTATACTCTAAAAATATGATGTAACTTAAAACCAAGCAATATTAGTAAGGCATATGATAATGTCTTCTAGGCACCTTGTACAAACTATTTTAAGCCAGTGCTATATTAGGGAAGGGGGTTGTTGTGCGTTGACAGTAGCTTGCACTTTCCAGTACCATCCATGAACAGGCACAATGAAACTGGGCCTGCAACATTTTCAGTTTTGTTGTTTAAGACTTACTTTGAAAATTTTATTTCTCACATTTTTACTTTCCAGCTTTGCTTGGACAGAGATTCCTCCTTGTATAGGATGGACAGGTGGGTAGAACAGTGCCCCTCTGTTAATAAGAATAAGCCTTCTCAAATAATAACAATATCATGGTCCAATATAGAATTTAAATCACAAAAAGTAAAAAAACTGCAGATACAATCAAACCAACCACCTCTGACAAAGACATATGTTGGTGCTTGCCAATGCTAGGTAATAGTTTAAACATTTATTTATCTATGGTCCATGTAGGGTATTTCAAGCACACTTTAATAGTCCGTTTCCTGGAGCTTAAACCAGTAGGTGTCATAAGAGAAACAGTGTCACTCCAGGACTACAGCTTTAACCCACAGTTCCAAGCTGGGTGGTGAGGATAAAACTCTAACCTCTAGACCATTGCTTCTCTTTAACAAGCTAGCTTTAATTCAAAAGCTAGCTTAAATTCAAACCACTATAATTTCTAGATATTTGAAGAAAATCTCTGAAAAAAAAATATTGTGATGGGGCTCAAGATAATCTATTATCTTACAAAATTACTAGACAAAAATATTTAACAATAAGCAAATAGCTATGTTAATTAAGTAAATATTTTTTGCAGTACAAGATCAAAGATATCAACAATAAATTAATGTCGCAAGTGAAACAGCCATTATTGCTGACACTAGCTTGAAGATACACTGGTCTGTGAGCTCCTTGACTGTAAACTAATTAAATTAAACCTGTCATTTTGATATCCTAAATTTTACATAAAAACTGATATAATGGTTAATCTTAAAATGGAATCTCCATTTTTAGTTAAAAATTCAGGAGAGGAACTTACCTACAGGGCACTTATTCCCATGTCACCAAGATCACATACAAGGTCCCAATCGCAATCCATAATGCAATAACCTGTACTTTCTTACAAGTTTTATTTGAAAGATTTTACTTGTCAAAAAATCAAGCAATTCAAACTTCCTAGAATAACTGAACCATTTAATTTAATGTTTAATGTACCAGGATATTATGCTCATTCACATGAATAAAACTTTAATAACAACATAACAACAAACCATCAGTAGATGAATAAGAGCCCCCCACCCCCCAAGCAGGAGCCAGGCTCTAAAAAAAATTTATTTCGAAAGTCAAGCACATTGGAGGAGAAATGACAGTCAAGCACATTGGAGGAAAAATGACTAATAAATAAATAATAAAGTTATGACAGTCTAAACTAATTTCAATATTTGTCCTCAAAAGTCAAGGTCATTTATAGGTCAATTTGTATTTCTAAACATGTCCGTTTTGTTGTCTAAGTATAAATCAAACCAGTAAATTAATAACAGTTATGACAATTTAAGCTAAATTCAATATTTGACCTTGAGGATCAAGGTCATTGATAGGTTAAGATCATATTTGATTTGCTAAACATGCTAGTTTCCTTGTTCTTTTGCACAAGTATAAAACAATTCTATAAATAAATAACAAAGATATGGCCTATCGTAGCAAAATTCATTAATTTGACTGTTCAAGTGGCAGTCAAAGTAAGGTTAAGGTTAAGGTCAAGTTCACTTAGATCTTCTATAATGTTATTTCCTATCCCAAGGATTGTTGATCCCAAATATGAAGACTATTCATTCATTACCTACAAAGTTATAGCAAAAAAAAGGTCAAATGTCAAGGTCAAATTGAGTTTGATCTTGACATTGTTGTGCTACGAGTATAAAGGCAATCCATTCATAAATAAAAAGTTTTAGCCATTTATAGCAGAACTCAAGTATTTGATCTTGAAGGTCAATTTAAAGGTAATGTCTGTCTATTGTTGTGTCCAAGTATGAAGGCAATCCATAGAAAGATAAAAATATTGTAACCACAGTTAAACTTTTCACATAGTAATGGCAACTACAACAGTAATGGCAATGTCTATGACAACATGACTGTAGCAATAGCTCTTTTTTTTTCTTAAAAAAAAGTCAAGCTGAACATGATAAAATCACAACAAGAGCTGCTCTCAACTATTCTCAGTGCTGGACAGTAAACATGAACCTGGATAATGTAGAATTTTCTAACTTCAAAAAGGGCCATAATTCTGTCAAAATCCATGTTTGAGTAATAGGCCTTGGTCAATCACGAGTGACCTCTTATTATGTTCTAAATAAGTGTGTAAAGTCTCAACCCATTCCCTTCAGTACTGTTTGAGATATCAAATTGTATGCAAAAACTATGCCAAAGTGACTGACACAGACAGCTTTCCCAATTCTTTGAATAGTTAAGCTAAAAACCACAGACCAATGATATGAGGATAATTCATGAAAATATTTCTGTCAAAGTTTGGTTGAAATCCATTAAGAAATTTTGGAAGAGTTGTGCACTCAAGAAAACAATTTAAAACCCAGTATTTTCTTGAAGAAAATCAGATTGTTAAATTAAATAAGACTTACCAATATAGAAGCTGAAATGCCATGATTTTGCTCCGTCATGACAAACAAAAGTACGAATAAAGTTCAAATCAGTATCTCTTCTCTTGATAGTCAATGGATATATGAAGCATTTTATATTAAATCTTATAAATCTTATATTATAATTTAATTAAATTGGTCCTGACAAATAATTTTGTGTATTGAAACATTTTCTATTTACTACCTGCCTTGAGGGCAGTACAAGATGATGTTTGAATTTTTGTAAATTTATAAATTTTACCTTAAATGATTTTGACATATCATTGATAAGTGATGGCCTTGGGTTAAAAGTTTCAGTTCCTGTAGTGATTATCATGTTACTAAAAAAAAGTTTATGGTTTAAGATAACTTTATGGTTAAAGATTTTATGCTAGTCTTTTTCACACATGGTTGTAACAAAATTCATTATTAAAATGCTAAAGGTTGATTCCTTGAAATTTTGTTTTACTGAGAAAATACTCTCAACTATCTTACTTAGCAAGAATATCAAGGATAACTTAAAATAACAATACTGTTTTTGATATATTTAAGGTTCATTTTAACATTTTATTGCTGCATGCATGATGGACCGTATACTTGGTGAAATGACGGGACCATTTACTATGCTAGCAGTATGAAAATAATAATATCTTGTATATTCTATATCCTTTTTCTTTTTATATTGATTTGTTCTGATTTCAGGTTGTTTTTGCATTTTTTTTTAAAGATTTTTTTGTTCTGTTTGTTTTTTAATGAAGGGAGGTGTGTGTGTGTGGGGGGGGGTGTTCTTTTATTCATGGGGCTTTAAAAAAATTATCACTTCATTTATTTCCTTTTGTGAAAGGATTACATTAGTAATAAAATTAGCAAGATCTACTTGTTTCACAATATGAAGTCTTACTTTAGGAGACTGGTGATAAAAAAGTTGCAATACAGAGAGCTGCTACCGTACTGTATTGCTGCATCAGCTGAATGTTCACTATCATTCACTGAGTAACAGTAGTGTATTAACTTAGGGAGCATAAGAACTGCTCTGCAGAGGACGCATTGTAGTTATAACAATTTGGCCACAGCAATGTTAAATTGCCAACGATGGTCCTTGATTGTCACTAATTACCGCTAATTACCATATCAAACAACTATAATTGGAAAGTATACACAGCTAGACTAGAAGTAGAATTAGACATAGAATACAGAAAAATCCATCATTTATGTTCCAAGTTAATCATACATTTTTTTTTTAATCATTATCTCTTAACCATTCTTGTATTACTGTCTTATATAGACCATACTTAATATCAAAGTGCTTAAATAAAGCATCCAACAATACTGAGACTCAGGTCAGGTCAGGTCAGGTCAGGTCAGAGGTCAGGTCAGGTCAGGTCAGGCCAGGTTAGTTTGTTTATTTTATTAGTTTGACTACTCAAAGAATAGGGAGTGCTGTTGTACTCTCCCAGGCATCCGATGTTGTCAGCGTCACACTTGGGTTAAGTTTTTTCATGCAATGTGGTATCTTTAAAACTACTAAAGGGAATGGGTTGAAACTTCACACACTTATTTGAGAACATAATAAGTCATTTTCCAAAGCCCATAACTCTAACACGAATTTCGACAGAATCATGGCCCTTTTTGAACTTAGAAAATTATACATTATCCAGGCTCTTGTTACTCGATCAAACACTGTGAATATTCCAGAAAACTGTAATGGTCATACAGTTAATTTTTCAGCTTTATTGTTGTAGAAAGACCTCAAGTTTATCCTGCAGCACAAGCAGGCACCTGAGTAGAACCACTTTTCTTCTGTAAGCTAGCTGGATAGCTTCCTGACACATGAAAGGATACTGGTATGTATGTGTCTCTTAACCTTTAACCTTCTTATTTCATAAATGGACTTTTTTTTGAAACTGTTCATTCATTTATCAATTTCGGGATATCAAGATGAATATTTAAAGTGAGTCAGCTAGAAGTATAGAGCCTGGTAAAGCTATGTTAGGGCTGATATATTCTGATATATCATTATTGCCACTAGGCGTAAGGTTAATTCATTTTTTTCCCCCATCAATTATAATTCATCATGGGGTACTGTATTTTTATTTAAATTCAGTGGGAAAAGTCTGCACAGATATAAGTAAAACAATATACATGTATTTAAATTTTAAAAAAAATAATTATAGGTACAGGTATTACATGATTATATTAATTCATAAAAAAATATTTAACATTTTTTTTTATTTAAAACTTTTTTATGAAATTTGTAGATGTATGGTAATTAATATATCAAATACTGCCAATCTTTACAAGAAAATTGTACAACTTACAGTTATAATTGTTACATAGGATGATAATAATAGCTTATGGTTATAAATTACCAAATTACACATCATTTTAGACTTGTAAGTTGACAATGACATTACAATTAAATTACTACAACATTTAAGAAATAATTAAAACATTTACGAAATTACATTAAATTTTGTAAAATTCTTCATCCTACCATATCAACTGTAACATCCTTTCTCCATGACGCACATTCAATTTTTGTAAGTCCATAAAAAATCAATTGATATAAATTCAAAAGTATTTACTCTGAATAATTTTCATTCTCTTCAATTTTATTTTTATTCAAAACAAAATGTCATTAAGTTCACATTACTTTGCTCCCTTCATATCAATCAAATCGAATTAAAATACGTTACACAGAAAAATGTCTTCTCTTTTTTCTCCTTTAAACAAAAATCTAGTAAAAATCCTCGGGACTTCATAAATCTAAGTACCACATTGTATAGATAATTCCAGACATATTAAACATTTAAGGGAACGTTTTAAATCCAAGCCTAATCTTCCAGTTGAATAGCCACTGATTAAAACATTGTCCGTTATCAATCATCTGTCAGTCGGCAGTGTACACCAGGTAATAGATGTGATGAAAACTTTTACTAATCACCTTCTACCATTTAATTTATCATGTTAATATAATGTTTAAAACTTTCACCATTTTAACGTTTATGTTTACGCCAAAAACAAAAAATGATAATGTATGAGGAGGTTTGTTATAAATTTTACAAGAATTTATTGCATGGTGAGTAATGTTATCTATGTCTCTGGTAATGTTTATTAACAGAAGTATGAATTAATTTCTTTAAGATATAAATACACAAATAATGACTTTATTCAAATTATAGAATAGAATGTCCTGGAACCATGCAAGGCAGGAATTATCTTTATATAATTACCCTCAGGCTCCAGTGGAATTATAAGATATTGCAATTAATTATAAACAGCAGCAATATACATATTTTTGCATACAGAATTGAATTTTGTAATTTCATATTTGACCTAAACATTTCAAAAGTTATCCTGTGGAAACAGAAAATTATGTTAAGAACGGGCATAACTCTATAACAAGTTGATTGCAGCAAAAAATAAAAAAAAGACCTGTGTTTTGATGTATTTTACATACTTACATCCAAGTATAAGCTCAATCATTGAAATCCTAATAAGTTATCCGTGGGAAACCATTTGACAAATAGACATGGGACTTAATTTAGATAAGGGGCCATTTCTTTTATTATTTTCTTTTTTCTAATACAAGGCCATTGGCCCCTTCTTCTATTGTTACAGAATTAACTCTTCTGTTCTTTTGTTCTGTTCACAGTTAAATGGCCATCTATATCTTTTTGGCAGTGTGCATGGACAGACGGACAGATCGATAGACAACACCATACTATAATTCATTCCAAAGGTCTTTAAAAAAGGGGCATTTAACTCTAAAAATATTGCTTTCATGATAATGCTCTTTGAAATGCTATGAGCAGTTAAAGTGATTCTAGGAAATTTGCCTCCTTGGGCATTTGCCCCTTTATTTTGCATGAATATTTGAATTATTATGCTATTATTTTGAGATTAGAAATAAAAATGCTTTTTGTTGAGGAAGATATATTTCTATTGAAACTAAATTCTTGTTGAAATGAGATGAAAATAAATTTGCAAAACCACTGATTATTGAAATAAGTGCTGGTATTTTTAAACAAGAGGGCCATGATGGCCCTGAAATCGCTCACCTGTATATAAAAACTCTCCATTTACAAGAATGATTTTGACCCCAAGTTTTTTCTTTTGGTTGCCATGGCAACCGGAGTTCTGCATGGAATTTATTCTTTGAACAATTTTCAAAGGTGACCACCAAAAGAACCCTTTGAAGGATTTAAAACGTTCCCTTAAATGTTTAATATGTCTGGAATTATCTATACAATGTGGTACTTAGATTTATGAAGTCCTGAGGATTTTTACTAGATTTTTGTTTAAAGAAGAAAAAAGAGAAGACATTTTTCTGTGTAATGTATTTTAATTCGATTTGATTGGTATGAAGGGAGCAAAGTAATGTGAACTTAATGACATTTTGTCCACAGGAACATTCCTGTGAAGTTTGGATGAAATTGGCTTAGCAGTTTATATATGAGGAGATGTCATTTAAAGTAAAAGTTTATGGACGACGGGCTTTGTGACAGGTGAGCTTAAAAAAAATATCCAGAGATGTTATTAGATTACTGGGCTCTCACATGTAAGTATGTAAACATTTACATGATTGCTAACCATTTAAATGGTGGTTTTTCTACTTAGTACTATACCATGTACATTTGAATTTAAGTTACCAATATGATTTCTTACTATCTGTTTTTAGTACATGTACAAATAAAAAACACTGTCCAAGGATAATTGCTTCCTCTCCCGATTTCACTTTTTTAAAGTCAACTCCGCCAAAAAAGTAAGTCCTTAGCAATACATGTATTATTATGATGATGCTTACCAGAGAGTTGTATGCACCCATATGCAGGGCAGCTGATCAGAGTGTGTCTTATAATAGAAACATGAATTGATAGTTTGTCAACACTGTTTGCATAATGGCAATGCATTGTTGGTGTTGGATAAAGTAAACATGCATTAAATTCTTTTATTAATGAAGTATTAGAATTGATAAAATTCATTATTACAGGTTATAATTAAGTTTACAAATAAAAATCAATTTGAATATGTTTTAATGTGAAAAAGTGGGGTCCTCAATTATTCACTGTGACATATTTGTATGAAAGCTTTATCAAAGCTAGTCCCTAGTGTGTTTATATAAAAATTCATGGTATTATAAATGTGACAGGGAACCCTGCCCTTAACTAGAATATGTGGGTTTCCTTACTATTTGTGCATGCTTTGTAATCAAAACATGTACAAACTAGAGCACTGCAAAGGTGGGGCAATATACACCCAATTGTACATGTATATTTGTTTGAGTAATCAAAAATAATCTTTCAATTTAAGAAAGAGACCCAGTTAAGAGACCTGTCTGAAAAATGTTTTATCTTAATTAGCCTTACCTCCAAGGTGGAGGCATTTTTTACCCCAAGTGCATAATTCATAAATCTTTAAAGGTCTGCCAGGCAATGCTACATGCTAAATATTGAGGCATAGTATTATATCATAAATTTTATCCACAAAAAGATATGATGTGTTTTCCTATCCCTAAGTCTACATAAGGCAAGTGACTCCTGTGGCAGGGCTAGTCATGATTAATGTAACTTTTGTAGAAATTCATATGCCAAATATCTAAGCTCTTGGCTATATGGTTTCTAACAATAAGACTTAAAGGTGTTTTTCTGTATAAATTTATATAAATCAAGTGACACTGGGATGGGTCAATAATTAACCAAAGGGGCATGATTAATATCAGATCTGCAGAGTTTCACAAGGTAATGCTACATGCTATTTTAATATCTTAGCTCTAAGCATTGTAGTTTCACAAAATAAGACTGAAATGTGTTTTCTCATACAAGACTATATCAACAAAGGTACACCAGGGCAGGTCCAATATTGACCCAAGGGGCATGATTATTACCAGTTTTGTACAGATCAACAAGGTAATGCTTTATGTCAAATTTCGAAACTCTTAGAGATCTTATTTTCACCAAATAAGACTTAATTGTGATTTCCCATATAAAACTATACTAAGTGACCCCTAGGATGAGGCCAATATTGACACCAGGGGCATGATAAACACCAGTTATTTTGTGGTCCACAGACCACAAAGTGATGTTACATGCCAAATATCTAAGCTTTCGGCATAGTAGTTTCACACAATTAAGTCTCAGGTGTGTTTTTCCAATATACATGTACATGTAAGTCTATATAAATCAAGTGAACCCTGGGGCAGGGCCAATATTGAACCAAGGGGCATGGTCCTTATCAGTTTTGTAGAGATCATTAAGGCTATGATACATGCTAAATATCTAAGCTACAGACATTGTAGTTTCACAAAATGAAACTTAAATGTGTTTTTAATGTAAGTTTATATAAATCAAGTAATCCCTGGGTCTGGCCAACTTTGTCTCATTATAAGAAATATTTCTACCAAAAAAGTTTTAATTTCACTCTCTCGGTTACGAAACAGTGCGGACACAAAATTTTGAAATTGATAAAAAATGACTTAGTGTGACCTTGACCTAAGGAAAGTCAAACCTGCGCTGTGCACATCATCTCATTGTAGTCAAGTAGTTTCAGTTTCCTTCCACCCTTTCAAAAGATACAGACCAGACAAGAAACTTATGATGTGTTTTCCTATGTAAGTATTATATAAATCTAATGATTTTGATCTCAAGAAGCCCAAACCTGTGTTGTGCACATCGTCTCATTATAAGTAATATTTCTGCCAAAGAGTTTTGATTTCTTTCTATTGGTTCACAAAATACACACAAAAATTTGAAATTGATATAAAACTAGAGGATGCTTTTGTAAAAAAGCGCATGTCTCCCCCACTGCTGAGAATAACTGTGAATGGAAACAGGAATGGAAATGGAGATAAGATAATGTAAATACCCGGTAGTCACAGAACTCTAGTTATCATCCGGAAATGAGAAAATGACCAATGGTCACTGTGACCTTAACCTTTGACCTACTGACCCCATAAACAAGAGGGATCATCTGCTCAATAAGACCAATCATCCTATGAAGTTTGAGGGTTGTAGGTCTAAAGGAACTCTAGTTATCATCCGGAAAGGAGAAATTAACCAACGGTCGCTGTGACCTTGACCTTTGACCTACTGACCATTAAAACAATAGGGATCATTTGATTAATAAGACCAATCATCCTATGAAGTTTGAGGGTTGTAGGTCAAAAGGAACTCTAGTTATCATCCGGAAATGAGAAATTGACCAACGGTCACTGTGACCTTGACCTTTGACCTACTGACCCCAAAAACAATAGGGATCATCTGCTCTATAAGACCAATCATCCTATGAAGTTTGAGGGCTGTAGGTCAAAAGGAACTCTAGTTATCATCCGGAAACGAGAAATTGACCAACGGTCACTGTGACCTTGACCTTTGAACTACTGACCCCAAAAACAATAGGGATCATCTGCTCAATAAGACCAATCATCCTATGAAGTTTGAGGTCTGTAGGTCTAAAGGAACTCTAGTTATCATCCGGAAACGAGAAAATTGACCAACGGTCACTGTGACCTTGACCTTTGACCTACTGACCATTAAAACAATAGGGATCATTTGATTAATAAGACCAATCATCCTATGAAGTTTGAGGGTTGTAGGTCAAAAGGAACTCTAGTTATCATCCGGAAATGAGAAATTGACCAACGGTCACTGTGACCTTGACCTTTGACCTACTGACCCCAAAAACAATAGGGATCATCTGCTCTATAAGACCAATCATCCTATGAAGTTTGAGGGCTGTAGGTCAAAAGGAACTCTAGTTATCATCCGGAAACGAGAAATTGACCAACGGTCACTGTGACCTTGACCTTTGAACTACTGACCCCAAAAACAATAGGGATCATCTGCTCAATAAGACCAATCATCCTATGAAGTTTGAGGTCTGTAGGTCTAAAGGAACTCTAGTTATCATCCGGAAACGAGAAATTGACCAACGGTCACTGTGACCTTGACCTTTGAACTACTGACCCCAAAAACAATAGGGATCATCTGCTCAATAAGACCATTCATCCTATGAAGTTTGAGAGCTGTAGGTCAAAAGGAACTCTAGTTATCGTCCGGAAACGAGAAATTGACCAACGGTCAGTGTGACCTTGACCTTTGACCTACTGACCCCAAAAACAATAGGGATCATCAGTTCTATAAGACCAATCATCCTATGAAGTTTGAGGGCTGTAGGTCAAAAGGAACTCTAGTTATCGTCCGGAAACGAAGAATGGACGGACGGACGGACTGACGGACGGACTGACGGACGGACTGACGGACGGACTGACGGACGGACGGACTGACGGACGGACAGGGCAAAAACAATATGTCTCCCCCCGAGGTGGGGGAGACATAATGACTAAGTGTGACCTTGACCCGAGGAAGATCAAACCTGCACTCTGCACATCAGCTCATTATGGTTAGCATTTCTGCCAAGAAGTTTCAATTTCCATCCCCCGGTTCAGAAGATAATGAGAGGACACTAAATCTGCTAACAGACAGACAGATGACCAAGTACATAACATTATTAGCTGAAATTTTTCGAGTGTATAAAAAAGCTCACTTTGATTTGATGATGTCATAACTGGATGTATTCCTTGAGCACAAGCAAAAATGGAAGATTTTTGTTCTATTTTTTTACACCATAAAAATACAAAGATATACTTGTAAAAATTGTTTTATTTTTTCATGAAGACATTTTACATGAAATAGACACTTTTTATTTAAGCAAATCTAAACCATCTTATTTGATGAGAAAGAATGGCACCATCTAATTCAACATAAAAATCATTCATACATGAAAGTAAAAATAATGCTGATGAAGACTAGATTGTCTTAATAAAAATAATAACAATTGACATCTAATAGAGACCTCAAATTTTGTTTTATTTTCATAAAGTTATCACAACTTCAACTTAACTTATTTGGATAATTTGACTTTCACCATCAATATCATTATTTGAAGTTTTTTAACACGTCTTTGTTGACACAAGTGTTGTTTTTCCCCCCAAGTATAATTTAAATTTGCAAATGAATTACAAAGATATAACAAATTAAGCTAAATTCAATAATATGACCATCACTCTCAATGTCATTTAAAGGTCAAGGTCATATTTGAATTATTCAATATACAATGTATCTGTTTTATCTTAAGTGTTGGTGGGATTTTTTCAAGAATTAATCAAATACATAAATATATATAACAAAGTTGTGACAATTTATGCAAAGTTCAATAATGACACCTTGAAGATCAAGGCCTTAATACAGTCATTTGGAAAAACAACAACAAAATGTTAGTTTAGTCATGGTTGTCAGAGTTGTTTTGCCAAAGTATAAAATCAAATCTGTAAATGGCCAATCAATAATTTGTCCTTCAAATTCAAGGTTATTTGTGAGTCAAGATCATTCTGGCTTACTTAAATATCTTGCCCAATGATGTTGTGTCAAATATGACGTCAATCCATTCATAAATAACACAGGTTAAGCCAGTTATTGCAAAACTCCTTGAAGGTATTGTCTAAAGTGTTGCTGTGTCCAATTATGATGGCCAATGTGCAATAAAAAGATAATAATCAATGTTAAAAACTTCAAACAGCAACATCCAACGGCTACGACACCATGACTGTAACAATAGCTGACACCATGACTGTAACAATAGCTGAAGTTTTTTCTTCAAAAGTGTCCAGCTAAAAATGAACATAATAGTGACAGATAGAATATATACTTTCATGTATGCTCACATAAATAATACAGGTATAATTATAAATTTTTGTTATGACTGAGCATTATCAGACCACAATTTGCTGACATTCAGAAAGTCATGGCATCTTTGTCATTTCAACATAATATAACCTAAATTTTAATTACATAATACTTGTAAAATCTATGTAGAAAATTAATGTAAAAAAGAACCGGTTAAACTGGGTGATACTCCCCGGACACAGAAAATTATAAAAAAAATGACCAAAGTGCAAAAACTCCAAAATTAGACAAGGCTGTGTTTTGGTTCTTTAGCATTGCAGTTTTATCCAATGAGATCTATCTACGTACAAAGTTTCATGTTGATAACTCTTATAGTTTTATGTCCCAGACAAAGTTCAAAGTGTAAAAATAAATAAAGGGCAATAATTCAAAAATTAGGCAAGGCAGAGTTACGGTTCTTGTGCACTGCACACCTACTCAATGAGATCTATCTACCTACAAAGTTTCATGTTGATATCTCTTGTTGTTTCAAAGTTATTTCCCGGACAAGAAAAGCGGACGGACGAACAAAGAGGCAACTATATGCTCACCCTTCGGGGAGCATAAAAAATCAAGCTTTACTTTATGTGCTATCAGCCACTGGACTGCCTATCTGATATGTATACAAGTTGCCTCATCATATGAAATTACTTTTCCAGCAATTATGTCTAATTAAAAAGCTTTTGTTTTACAACTATCTTTAATTCATTAACAATCAAGACCATAAATCACAATTATACAACATACTGATGAATAAGTTATTAAAAATAAAACAACAACAAAAAAACAGCACAAAGTTTCTGAATACGTAGCCTAGGCCATGAATCTGGATTTCAAGATCAACATTTCTTTGGCAAAAGCAATACAAACAAGTAATTCATAATACAATTAACAATGTTCACATAGAAATTTACACCTAATTATTAAATAACAAAATCAAGAAATACAACTAGCAGATGCACTTTCTACAAACAAAATGAAGAAAAAACAGTCAGATCAAAATTTAAGTTGACTGATATCATAGTTCAAATCTGCAACAGATTCTGAAACAATGCATAATTATGTAAAAAAAAGTCACTGGTTGCTATGGAAAGTTGATTGTAGGTATGGCGTACATGAATATGCATTGAATTCATTTTCTTGAATTATAGATTTAATTTATACATCATTATTTGTTTGAGTGACAACTCTATCACGTTTAAATGTTAATGTAACACAATGAATGAAAATAAGTCAAATTAACAAGAGCTGTCACAGGAGACAGCGAAGCTCGACTTAAAAAATACTGGACGCAGTAAGGAAGACAAAACTATGAAAGAAAAATCAATTATGTATAATTATGTATTAAGTTATAGTAAAAAAATAACAATGTTAACATAAATTCCAAGATCAAGGGGAATAATTCTAGAAATAGTCATGCTAGAGTTATGAACCTTGTCACACAACATGTGTTATGTTAAGAAATATATATTTGAAGTAGTACTGTGTATATTTGAAGTATGAAGTTGATCCCTTAAGTAATAAAGAAGTAACAGTAAAAATAGTATTTTTTAAGGAAAATTCTATGTTCAAGGGGAGATAAATTTTAAAATATTGGTTCTAGACTTATGAACCTTGTCACATAAGATGTGGTTGATGATAAGGAACATATATTTGAAGTTTGAAGTTGATAACTTAAGAAATGACAAAGTTATAGTGAAAAATATTTTACTGCACCAAAACTTTAATCTGAAATCTGGACGCGGACGCCACCGCCGACACCGGGGCGAGTAGGACAGCTCTCCATATACTTCGTATAGTCGAGCTAAAAATCATCATTTTGTTTGAACTAAATTGTAATGTTTTAGTACTTATACATTGTACATGTTTATGTCAGAATTATTAAGCTAAACAAAATAAATAATAATATGATACATGTAAAATGAAGACGATTGATAATTATAATTTCAGGGCAGATTTTTTATTTTGATAACTAAATTCAATCACCCAAAACTTTTTGACTTAAAGATTTTGTACATGTAAATGTTTGTATAGTTCCAGTTTTACTGGCATAGAAAAACTTTAGAAATCCTCAGCTGTACATAATTTCAGAGATTTTCAGGCATAAAAGATATGTTTGATATTAAAAAACAACAACAAAACCTCTCACACGGACGGCACATATAGACTATGGTCAATGCCATGCAGGAATCCAGGAAAATTCATTAAAAATCAACAAAATAGATCTATGGCATTTTTAAATTGACATTTACTTATGGTTCTGAAGGCATTGTTTGTGTGAATACAGTACCTAGTCAAACAGTTAAGCTGAATACAAATATACTCATATCAATATTGATTTTGATTTCCACATTAAATTATTTTTCATCATGGAATGTTTCACAGAAGTGTTGGCAGATCTGACTTGTTTGCTAATAGACAAGCTAGTACATATAGTATCCCCATCTGGAAGTTTAACAAAGCCACTCTCTGTGGTACTTTATTCAGCTGCTTAGCCCTAAATTGTCTCTCTATATTGAATGCTTCCTTACATGTGATAACTGGTAGAAACATCCACTTTGATATGTGTAAACCACCCTGAACAAACAGCAAATATGGCAAAAATAGTAAAACTACAAATAGAATATAGGAACCTAACCAGCCTAAAAGAATGGCAACTGTTACAATTTTAGCCTTGTTATCCGACTCCATGTCCCTTGTGTTGTTTCCATGAAGAATGGCGATTATATTTAAGGCTAAAGGCATGGCGTATAGAAGAGTAACGATAGACAGCTCCCCAGCTTGTGTCAAGAATGAGAACATCACAGTAATTGGTCCAAATGTGAGAAATATAATGATATCGCCCAGGGCTATATACTTTAACCCAAGCCCGCCTGTATATAGAAAGCTGCTGGATAGGCCACAGAAGAATATCAATGCTAAATGCTCCATTTTAGCTGGAGATAGGAGACAAAGCAGTAGAAATCCTCCAATTCCTATTGAATATAGAACCATTCCTAGCCATTGTATCTCTTCAGGGTTGAGAATTTTGTCTACCAGTGTACGATCATCACTCTGTTTCGTATCGATACCTCGGACATAATCATAGTAAGTGTTGACTAGGTTGCCTGCTGCATGCACTGATAATGCTGTGACTAAGGTGGTGATGAAAACTGGCAGGGAGAAATAACCAACAGCCTTGTATGCCAGAACACTGCCCAGGGCCACAGGTGTAAAGCTGGCTGTAAATGACCATGGTCTCAAGGCTATCAAATACCTGCAAATAAAAAAAAATGATGACATAAAAGTCAGTAATTCAATAAAACAAAGCTTGAAAATAAATAGCATGCACACAATTTCTGACAAAATAAGTGTCTCTCTCTCTCCGTTAACATGATACATGATGTATTATGTTCAATTTCCAGTTTACTTGCAAGCTGCCTAAGTTACAGAGAACAAGGGCCACCAAGCTGAGATCCACTGGTGGTTGTGTCATTTTTGACCCCAGCATCGTGATTCTTAGCACTTATCAAGAGAGATGCTAGAAAATGCAACATGCTAAACATCTAATGATCAGAGCATTTTCCATGTAATTGAAAACTAGTAGTTGTTATCCAGAACTCAGCAAATGTAAATTTGGGTTTTTCAATTTACCATGAGAGCTTCAGTCACTGTGCACTACAGTTCACAATAAATTAGTCAATTTGTTCCCTTTATTTTTAAAGTTGTAACTGTAAAAATTTGTACATTTTGCCTCTAGTGTTAAAATTGGCCTCTACCCAGCAAGTAGTGGTCATAGGTTTTCCTTACATAGTAAAAACTTAAAAAATCTTCTCAATAACGACAAAGGTTAGATATTTGGCATGAGACATTGTGTAGTGGACCTCTACTATCATTGTTCAAATTATAGCCCTGGGGTCAAAATTGACCCTGCCACAGGGGGTCACTGATTTTAATTACGTACATATAGTAAAAACCCAAAAAATCCTCTTGTCTGAAAGAACAAGGCCCAGAGCTTTATATTTTGTGTATGATATCATCTAAAGGTCCTCTACCAAGGCAAAGTTGTTCTAATTTTGCCTTTTTTGTCAAAATTGGCCCCACTGGCACTATGGGGTCATAGGTCTTCCTTACATGTATTATTTAGCATGAAACATTGTGTAGTAGACCTCTACCACACTTGTTCAAAAATAAACCTTGGTGGCAAAAAAAGGCCCCCCGGGGGAAGATATTCATTTAAAAAAAAAAATCCCCCTACTTTTTCCCCCGGTTTTCATTTTGGCCCTCAGTTGTCTGAATTGGAGGTTATGAGATTCTTTTTATCAAAAAAAAATTTTTAAAAAAAATTTCCCAATCGAAAAAAGCTTTGTCCAAAAATTTTTGGGACCTTGTGGGCAAAAATGGGCCCGCTTTTTTTTTGGTTTTTTTACCATTTTTGGGGGCTTTTATACCCAAATTCACCTGGGTTTTTACCCAAGTGACCTATTTTCTTGTCTTTTACAGCTATGAAATTTGGACCATGTACACATTTTTAGATAAAAAATTGAACTTTGATATCAGCTGACATAGATTCTGAGGAAGTGACCTACATTATTGTCCTATAAAATTTGGATTTTAGATGTTAAACTGAACTTTGATATCAGCTGATTTAGATTTTGACCAAATGACCTTAATTTCATGCTTTTTTACAATATAGTTATGACATTTTGACTATGTGCACAGTTTCAGGTGTAGAACTGAAATCTGATATCAGATGACCTTTATATTGACTACATGACCTTACATTGTATTTTCTCTTTTTTTTTAATGTACATCAATAAAATTAGGACCATGTATATATAAATAGTATAAATCAAAAATTTATTTTGCATTAAGTATGGCCTAGTGACCAATATCATTAAATTCTTTTAATAAACACTTAGTCTAGCTTTCACTGCTTTTCCAAAAATAACAGTCTGTCCTCAGGTGAGCACTTTGTTTAGAAATGTCAAACATGTGTTTGAAATGTTTTTAAAATGGGTTAAGATCATGTAAGATGTTTAACAACTGAAGACTGTAGCACTGAACATGCAGTAATGTGTCATAAGAAAAATATAAACAAAGTTTTTGACTTCCCGTACAAAAAATACTAATTCCTATAATTCTATTTAATTCAAACCTGAACCTTTTAGCTTCAGATCAACAAGGAAAATGTATAAATAGCTAGGTGAGATGTGTGCAACACATCCTCTTCATAACAAAGGCAAAATCTTGACATTGTATCATCTTAGGTGACCTTGACTTCTGACCCATTGACCTGGTTAATGTGCATGACACAAAGTCTCATGATGAACATTTGTGCCTGAAAACTCAATTGGACAAGTTAAGATGCACACACTAACAACAAACAGCCATTTTGACACGTATGTTGAGCTCAGCGCAAGAGGGCTCAACAAATAACATGTAGAACATTTGTGCTAGGTAATTACATGTAGAACATTTTTGCTAAGTTATATTAAAATGCAACCAACTATGTATATAGAAGTTATACTAGCAAATGAATGTTTTAATTGGTTATTTGACCACTGACCCTTTAGTGTGACCTTGACCTATGAGCAGCGGACCTGGGTTTTGTGAGTGACACACCACCCTATCATGTTTTACATTTGAATCAAATTATTTTATAATCATTCAAGGAATGAGCAAGATATAGTCCTGACAAATCAGATGCACATACACCGAAAAGTATGCCAAAAGTAACAACTATGTCAAGCTCACCTCAAGCAGGCTTGATAATAAAATGATAGCATACACATGAGGCATATTTGGCTTTTAAACTTCATATTATAATTATTCTTGAATTATTGATCTGTTGATTGGATAAGGGTTTTCAACACTGCCATTGTATCTTTTATGTTATTGATGAAACGTTTTTGTTTTTTTTTCTTTTAACTGACAGGTGACAGGGATAAATCAAGCCTTAATTGGTTTTTCTGACCCCCTTAAGAAGTTAAGTTACTGATATATGGAAATATAAGTGAGAGTATAATATTATAGTAGAACACTTTTACTATCTAGTGACACATAACAAAATATGCATTATATTTAATCAGATATTGTTATTAACGATTCAGGGTTTTTTGATTTCAAAGTATGTAAAATTGTTCTTTTTTAAGGGAAAGCGAATCTTTCCAAATTAAATGGGGGCGAATAGTTTTTGGGGCGAAATTGTCAGGGGGGGCGAATTTTGATAAACCTCTGGGTCCCTCTGTTATGACTTGAAAAGTAGTATTGCAATATCAACCTTTTTAAATGTTCTTGTATTTTAATATACCGAGAATGGCCATCATTAGCGCTGGATTTGGTAAACATCTGTTGTTTTTCTGTTGACATATTTTTAATGGTCGCCTTGATTGATGATAATTTATGATTGCTAGAACAATTCCCTAATTTAACCGAGTCTTTGCAAAAAGTCAAAATAATGATACAGACAGGGGATAGCCTTTAAGTCGACAAGTATGAATTGACAATAATGTAATATAACAGAATCACCTGGAAAGAATTATTACAACTTTAACACTAATAAGTACTTCAAGAGGACATTTTGCGTGCATGGCTACTTCAATTTTCATTCAGTGTAAATCAATGCAAGTTGGTACTATATGACTTTGGATTGAAAGACTCTTAAGACCTACACATTAGTGTTACTCTACCTAAAGTTTGATCAACATATTTTGAATGTTGTTAACCGCACAAAAAAAATTGACAGGGCTAGTAAAAATAAGTTTCATGCAGTTGTATGAAAACACCAATGTTTATATTATATAGTTGTTTATAAAAGCAACAACATACATGCAGCTTTTATTTTCGCACATCTTAATTATTTTCGTATAAATCTTATTTTCACAAGGATATTATTTTCATACAGTTTTATTTTCACAGATCTTTTTTTTCTAAAAATCTTAGTAAAAAACAGACATTATTTCATACAGATCTTTTTTTCATATAGATCTTATATTCTTGCGTATTATTTTCTTTACAGATCTTATTTTTTTTCCCCGTATTAAGATCACATTTTCAATAAGGATCTTATTTTCGTAACAATAGTATTTTCCATTAACAGATCATGATTTCCTCAATTAAATTTTTGTACGAATATCAAATTCATACAAGGTTTTGATTTGAACTGTTTACAGAATCTTTTTTTTCGTAACATGTAGTACTTTCATACAAAAAATTACATTTTCATACAAGGTAATTAACTATTTTTACAGCAAGATCTTATTTTGGTAAATTATACCTTTTTTTCGTATGAAACATTATTTTCCATAAAGCTTTTTATTTCTTTACAGATTTTAATTATTTTCGTAGAGTACTGATGATTTTATTTTTCGGTTAAACGGTACATATTCTTATAAGATCTCTAGATTCTTTTTTCGATAAGTTGTTTTTTGCAAAAGTTTTTTTTTTTAATTTTTGGATAACTTTTCAAATCAAAAAAACATTTCTTGTTCTTTATAAAGAGACATTTCATTTTAAAACTTATTTGCAAAATCATTAAAAGTAAAGTTAATTATATTGACCGGTATATGCTTGTAAATATTATTGTATTATAGATGATGACAATGTACAAAATCTTAAAATAAAATATCTGTTCTGTCTCTGTTACTAATTTTATATAAGTTATTGAACCAATGTAAATCTTATATATATTTTTTCGTAGAGATGCCCATCCCCTTGAGATGTTCATGCGTTCTTACTATATACTAAATTTTGGAATATATTTACCATAAATTTGCCGCACCCAAAAGTCTAATTATTTTCATTTACAAAACCATTTATTTTCTTTTTTATTTCATTCAAACAAACCATTTTTAATAACAGCAAAAATACGTTTTTCAATACATTTTATCAAAAAATAAATCTTAATTTTTCGTTAAGACCCGAATCGTATTTTTCGATTTACACGGCAATTCAAGTTATTTTATAAGATTAGTATTTTTTCGGCTCAAACTTCACCCTTTTTTTTAAATATTAATTTTCAGTTCTGAAATTTATTATTTCATTCATACAAATCAATTTATTAAGAAACAAAAAAAATGCGTTTTTAATACATTTATAAAAAAAAAATCTTTTTTTTTTCGTAGACCCGATCGTATTTTTTCGTATTTACACGGCAATTTGAGCTATTTTCGTAGCGATAGTATTTTCTGCTCAAACCCCTTCATTTTTTTAAATATTTTTTTGTTCTGAAAAATTTTAATTTTTAATGTAAAAATCATTCCCATATGAATGCCATAAAATATATTATCTTTCATAATTATTTCAACAGATAAATGCACTATTTCAAAAATAAATCTTATTTTCGTAGCCGCGATCTTATTTTCGCGAAAATAGCTTATTTTCGGTATCCATCTATACCCACAAAAACGTAATACAGTTGCTGTGCTAGGATGCAGTACATGCACAATATCAAAATGCCGTTTTCTTTGATTGGTTAAAAGAAAAATAAATATACGTACTGGTATTTTCTTGGCCCGGGGTTTAGGTTTTGTTAAATTTTCCCAACAAAAAAAAACATTTTTTAACTTAACTGTTCGTAAAAAATTATAAAATATTCCCCCCATTTTTTTTTTCTTATTAAACTTCAAAAATTTTTTAAAAATTTGGGGTTTTAAATCTTTAATTTGTTTAAAAAATTGAATTCCCTTAAAACATGTGAAACATATATGGTAAGGGTGTTACATAATCGTATTTTCCTTAAAAAATACAACCAATATTTCCAGGTTCTTCGTTCACGGGGGAGGAAGTGTTACACGAAGGATGGAGTTCTTATGATAACTTGTTCAGGAGTTCTTGTGATAACTGTCACGGAGAGTTCGTCGGAAAATTTGAGACACAACTGTCCAAATGAAACACAACTGGCAATAACAAAAGTTATCAATTAAGAAACTCTGTGACATCTTCAGAGTTATCACAAGAACTCCGGGACATTTGAAAAATCGGGCTTATAAATCTGTTAAGCCGGTGCTTTATGGTTGCAATTTTGCATTATAATTAGGGTAATTATGTTATGGCAACTGGATTTGAAAAAAAAAGGAAAACCAGAAAAAAAAAACGGTCAAAACTTGTGAATTGGCAAGTAATTTTTGGAAATTTTACTCAAAACTACCAGATTTGAAGCAAGAGTCGATGAAAAATATTAGCCCGTGAATTAAGTTTTTTTTGACACATAATACAAAGATGTAAAAACAAAGCTTAATTTCCATTAAAGTTTAATTAAGCACCTAATTAAACTCATTTTTGAAACGATGAAAAGAAAAAAAAATAACCATTTTTTTGACGAGTGTTTTTGTAGTATATACAGGTGTTTTCCGACAACTTCCTTGACAGTTATCACAAGAACTCACATGAACAAGTTATCATTAAAGAACTCCATCCTTCGTGTAACACTTCCTCCCCCGTTCCCGTTTATCTTCTTCTTTTATCAATATTTTATACATTGCATATGTGTCAAAAGTACACAGTTAAAGTGACCTGAAAATTACATAATGAATGTAAATGACACTTTTAAATACATATACTAATAAAACTAACTTAAATCTTGTAGGCCTGTGAATGCAATATATTTGCACCAGAGAGTTTGTGTTGCCACGTTTGCAGTAATTAAGCAATTGATAACATAATGCAAAAAATAATGATACAAATTCTGTAGTAAATATTTGGAATAAATGAGATCCCTCGTCGGCGGTGTTAACAATAGTATATAGATGAAAACTGTGGACTCGGTTTGCTTGAGAGATAATAAAAGGTGTTAGATCTCTTACGTTCCAACAAGGGTTTTAAAGGGGTAGGGAAAATTTCTTCAAACACAAAAAAAGAAATTTGGAAAATCAATGACCCAAATGCCCAAAAAAATATAAAAAACACTAAAGTTTTTTACATCACCAATGGTTTTTTTTGGGTCAAAACCCAAAATGTAAATTTGAAAACGTTACATTTTTTTTTGAAAGATTGATTCTGTTTAAAAATGTCATTTTAATTTAAAGTCAAAAACCCCCTTAAAAATCCCCGTAAACAATTTTTTTATGGGTTTTTTTCAATAAATTATGAAAGCTCAAAATTTAAAATTTGTCAATATTTTTAATTTTTTTCCCAAAAAGCTTTTTTATAAAGATATTTCCCCAAATTTTAAAATTTTATGTAAAAAAAGGGGGGTAATTAGAAATTTATTTTTTTATAAATTCTAAGTCAAATTTTCCAAAAAAAATGAATGCCCGTTTAATTTTTTTGATTAAATTAATTTTGCACCCCAAAATTTTGCAGTACACCCTTTTTTAAAATTCCCTTCCCTGTTTGAAAATTTTTTTTATTTGCATAAAAATGTACATATATAATTTTTTTTAAAATTTTGGGTATTTATACCCCGTTAAAAAAAAAAATCCCCAAACAAAAAACCCAAAAGGATCTTTAAAAATAAGTAAATTTTTTGTGTAAGGTCAGCTACTTGGGGCCCAGAAATAAACAAAAACCCCCGTCCTTTTTTTAAAAAAACTCAATTTTTTTGTATCTAAACTATCATCCCGCCTTTTGAGTCAAAAACCCCTGCTGGGGGCCTAGACTTGACGCGCGTTCAACTGACAAGGAATGTTAGTAAAAAGAGCTGAAATAAAAGAATATAAAAGTAATGGAAATTAGTATATTGTTTAAAAACAGGTTAAAAATAGAATAGGTATTTTAGGGAGACGAATGTTCAGTCCGGTTTACAGCTAGAATGAACTCAAGGGTCAGACAAGTTTATGATAATCAGGTGGTTAAGCATTCCAGTGGACTATTGTTCTTGGAAAAATGGAAATTTATTTATAGTAATCAGTTTTAGTTTGTACTTGCTGGAATGCATAGAGATGGGATGTGCTAGATGATCTTTTGTAAGAGGGATGATAAAACTTTGGGGGAAAGGGATAGCCGCCCTGGTCATGCAAGATGTTTTGAAACATGAAGGAGGCGTTGGTCAAATACGCCGAAGGTCAAGGGGCCTCCATAAATAATTTGAAGGCGAAGTTCAACATGTCAGTGACACTTGACATACGGCCGAAGTCATGTTTGGCCTACACTTAGCAGCCATTCTCTGGACGGGACTCTATCTGGCCAATGAGAGTTCCCTGTGTAGGAACACCAGACCGCGGAGCTGTACTCGAGCTCGGGCGCTGACAAATGTCTTTTATGCGGTTGACTTTAACCTTTTCTGAGTGAACTTTGTGATGTTCGGCGAAAAAACCCCCAAGAATTTGATTCGCCTTTGTCGTTGATGTTTTTTATGTGTTTGGGTTCCCCATGTTTAGATCATTTGATATTGTAATGCCAAGGGTTTTGCAGACGGAACTTTTTCTTAAATGTTGGTGTTATGTAGGAGGTATTGTGTTGGAATGACTGTTTTCGTTTTGTGATTTGGATAACCTGGCATTTTGATGGATTTTAAATTGCCATTGTCCCATTTTGTCTCCCATTGGGTTCAAGTTGGTGTAAGTCCACCAGTTGCAGTAAAGCTAGAATGAGAAGCGACAGTCAAGAAATAGAAAATAGATGGGCCATGCCATCAAAAAATAGGGGAACTTTAGAGGATTTGGACATAAATTTCAGGAAGGTCATTGGTGTATATAATAAATAAAAGTGGGGAACACCGCGGGGAGACTGGCATTGGACTCTGGGATGTTGGAGCCATTTACCAAACCACGGACTGTGACCTGTTTATCCAAAGAAAAACCCCCTTGCATTCATTAAAGAGTTTGACCCTAAATACCGTAGAAATGGCAGCTTTTACAGAAAGGTTTTTCATGGTTGACCATATATCATACTTAGAGAAGTCAAAGAAGGATTAAGCCTACTTGGCTTCTCTGGTTTCATGACTGTAGGATATCATCTATAGCATTAATTTAATTGGGATTGACATGACCTTTTTTCTCGGAAACCATGCTGCAATTCATAGAACAAGTTTGATCTAGCAAAGTGCTTTAATTGTTATACTGGAGGAGACAATGTGTTCCAGGGTTTTACACAAGAAACAGGGTCTGACTTGCTATTTTTTTAAAGACAGGGTCGACATTTGCCATTTTCCAAATGTCTGGTAGTACTGGAATGCAGTGATTTCTGAAAGAGTTTGGACACGTTTGGTACCCTTTTAACAACAAATCTCATGTTAAAACTTAAACTATGTCTTTGTTTAAAATTTAGTAAAAAATTTTAAAATTTGAAAATTATCCCCCTTAAAAACCCCGTAATAATTTTGTGACAAAAATTTTTAAAATATTTTTTAATCGGATTTAATTTGTAAATTTTTTTACTTAAATCATAGTTTTGGGTTTAAAAAAAAATTTTTTATCTTTAAAATTAACAGGGATTAAATTGGGTAAATAATTAATTATATTTTACTGTTTGCAAAAGAACTTAAATGAATTTGGGAAATTTCTAAAAATTTTTTGTCATCATTCCATGCATACTTTAAATTTTAGTTTTAAAACATTTTTTAGCTGGGGTTTAAAAAAAAAAAAGTTTGGGGTTTTTAAATTTTTTAAATTTAGTGTCTCTTTACCTAAAGTGATTTTTATACTTAGATATAATAACAACCGCACAGGAAGAAACATCCGTGGTTGACAACTCATCGAAATCGATCTTCTTTTACGTGTAGAATTCTTTTCAAGTGTCATTAAGTAAGTAAGTTCAATGGCTGCAAATGGAAGAGGCAATATGCGACCCGCGGGTCGATCCCCTCCATTCCTTGCTATCGGTTTATTCGTTGCATTGGTGATTTTAGGCTTTAATTACTGGAGCTTATCTTCCCGAAATGGCGAACAAGCAAATGAAATTGTCTTACTTGAGAGTGAACTTCGTTTAGTAAATGCTAAGAAAACGTCTGCTGAAAAAAGAAGTGAGGCAATATCTGATAAAGTATCTGAACTAGAGACTCAGATGAATTCTCAAAAGGAGATTATTGCTAAAGCTGAAGCTGACCGTGCAAATCTAGAAAAAGAAAAACAGGCATCTATAGAACGAAATATGGAACTAGAGAATGAAGTACGAGGTGTCAGGGACCAACAGCTTGTGAGTACTTATTTGGTTTCAAAGTAATATCTTTGATTTAGATAGAGAATCCAATTTGGTGAAAGATTTAACAGTTAAAGCCTTGATGTACAGTAAAAAGCGGCTTTGTGACCACCTTGATTTAGAGACCAACATTTAGGGACATTACAAATTACGTTCATCTTGTCTGAATCTAAATAATATGAAATTAGGTGCTACCTATGGCGCGGAAAGCTCCTATGAATTATGATTTTAGCATAACATAGTAGTGTACATCAGGGCTCAAGCTAGGTTCAAAATTTAGGGAGAAGTCACTTCTCCCTCCAGCTGCTTTAGGGAGAAGTGGGGAGATTTTAGGGAGAAGTGAGGAGATTCATTTATCGATGTTTGTTGTATGTTATCGCAATTATGTTGACTCACTGTACATGTCTTATTAAATGAATTGGATTTGTGTTACAACAGAATATTCAATTTTAATTTAAAAGTAGTTTGAAACAAGTAATTAGAATGAGTATCATGTAATGCAACCATTGCATTAAATGAAGATAAAAAAGCCATAGTTGATTCCTATCATGGATCATATCATGGGTGGATTAACAGTTATTCCCTTCTGATTTACTATTAAAAAGCTTGCGCCAGACATTATATTCATATTCACTATGTTGTAAAGAAAATGAAAGTAGATATAACGAAAGAAAAACGATCTTGAATTTAACTTCATTTGTAATAAATTACAGTGTAATACGCCGTCAATTTTATCAAATTTAACTCGTCGACAAAAAAGGTTATCATAACTTTCATTTAAAATTACCGTTGCAGTTATATGTCGAGCGGTCCTCTTAATTCTGACAATCACTCGATAGTGAAAATTTAATTGACGTTTGATCCGTCCATCATAAATAATTGTTACGGTAGTTGTATGTTAGCGCTTTAATGATTGGTTTAATAATGTCGCCTCGATTAAAAAACGTGAATTACGATATGGTTTCTCGCACGTATCGGTAATCTCGCCGTGGGCGGAGTCTAATTGTTCCTCGAGTGTCTGTTAATTAGACTTTTATGACATGATGGTAAACAAACGGATTTAATGACGTTTCGCGTTGATTGAGATGCATGACAGTCCCTTTTTTCCGGTGGCGAGGGGTAAACAAAGCAAACACACACAACATGTTATTCACAGTTATTGTTGGTAATTTTCAATAATGGATCAATAAAATCGGGCGACTTCATCTTCGCTTTCATGTAGGATGTCGGCGAAGTCAGACGGAATTCGGCGACTATTTTGCCCGAATCGCCCACTAGCTTGAGCCCTGGTACATGTAAACCAGTTCTTTCTTGAAGATTTTTTGTACCATAAACAAAAACAAATAAATTTGTGGTGTTCAACCTATCATAAGAGCGCTCAGAATATTCCCAAAATCTCCGAACATAAAGGGGAACCTCTGCGCATGCGTCGGCGTTCGGAAAATCCCGTCCGCCATTTTTGTTAATCTCTAATCACAATTGTTGTTTTAACGTTATTTTTAATGTGCTAATTTATCAAAAATGATATGTTAAAGAAACTTTTTATATTTATATTATAATTGTTACTATAATTCTTATCAATGAAATGTAGTTTTATTTTCTGATTTTGTACATCATTCTTTCACCGGAAGTGGTACTTAGCATGCGTTTGCTAGCAATAGTCTGAATTATGCAGACGCTCATTTAAAGCGCTCTGATATCAATACATATTTAGCTCAAAGGGATTTCAAAATGGCGGCGCCCATGTAACTAAGGACTTTTTTCACAGCTCATTAGGTATAGGATATATTTTTTTTGAAGTTTTCATTTAGTTTGAATTTAATTTCATTTGAATTGATACGCGTCATACATGTTATCTAAGAGTGCTACAGCCCTCGCGGGGCCTTTGGCCCCGCTCGGACTTTCCGCGTATAATAATTCTGTATCATATAACTACATGTATACTGTACTTGCATGATGATTATGATACAATCAAGGTGATCATATTAATATTGTAAGTGATACATTTTCAGAAGCTCTACTAAACTCTCATGTTAATCAGAAATTTAAATTATTTTATATGAATGAATACACCGATAAACACTTTCAGAACTAGCAGATGACAGGCAACTCTTATCAGTAGTATTTTGAGTAAAGATAACGGGTTGCGTGTCTCACTGTATAAATCATATGTAAAATGGTCTAACATATGTTAGGTTTAACAGTTAATTTTAATACTTTGGAGTCAAAAGATGTGTTGAAGTTTATACTGTGATGAAGCTAAGATCCAAAGCTTTCTATTGGTGTAATACATTTTAAAATCAGACTTTTAATCACAACAAACTAGCGGTTTAAAAACAGTTTATTTTGTATTGTTTTAGCATAAGCGGTATCGATTTTACTCGAAGATAAGGGAAGCAACTCGTATCTTTCACTCGATATACCTTGGTTATTTACGTAGATCATATTGAAAGTGTTTATGGGTGTATTCAGGCTTTTTTCTTTTAATCCCAGGGGCCGGTATAGGGTGCTTCGGAAAGAATTTCTTTGATTTGGCTTTACTCCAAAATTGAATACATCTTTTTCCTTCTTTACCAAATATACAGTGTGACTTCCAATTATGGCAGAGCTTTCCCAGCTTGTCTGAAAAATTTGTAATTTAGCTGGAAGCCATGGATCACATTACTTTTATTGATAGAGAAAATGAAAAAAACTTAGCATTGAAATCTGAAGAGAAAAGAATTTCAAAGTATTCATATAAGCATTATTTGTTATCAAACAGACAAGCCACAACACGAACATTCAGTAATTATTTATTTCATACAAACTGTACATTTCGGCTATATGCCTTCAAGTTCATCAGTGTTAAACATATTAAAATCAATTTTTATGCCCCCACAAAGTGGGGTGCATATAGCATTGCACTTGTCGGTCCGTCCGTCTGTCCCTCCGAGCAAACATTTTGGGTTTAGGGGCTATATAACAGTAAAGAGAACAAAAGAGAACAATAGGTTTATTCCGTGATCAAAGGGTTTATGGGGTAGTAGCCCTTTAGAAAACAAAGAAAATAACAAAGAAAATAGCCCCTAAACTCAAAATTTTTGAACGTCCGTACGTCTGTCCGTCCATACAAACCAGAGCTACATAATGGGGTTTGGTCTATTGTTCTCATAACAATAGATGTCTTTGATGTCATTCATTCCGTTTCTCTTGTGGGGTTATTTTCTGCATTGTGGGGTTAAAAAGAACAAAAGAAATAACAAAAGAAAACCCCATTATGTATCTCTGGTAAGAAAGTATGTCCGTACGTCTGTCCGTACGTCCCAAAATCTTGTGAACGCAACTCCTCTTAAACCAGATGGCAGATTTTGCTTAAACTTCCAGGGATGAACAACCTTAATGTGTAGATGGTATTAAAGGAAGGAATTTTTGCTGCGACTAAATTTAACAGAATTATGGCCCTTTGTTGGTTTTTAGCTTGACTAACGATAAGAATAAGTAGAGCTATTGCAGTCACCCGAGCGTCGGTGTCTGCGTCGGCGTAACGACTTATGATAAAGTTTTTGTAATAGTTCAAATATTTTCAAAGTCCATTGACATATGGCTTTGAAACTTTGCACACTTGTTCACCATCATGACCCCAACTTTTAGACAGGAGGAGGTAACTCTATCAAGCATTTTGACAGAATTATGCCCCTTTTTCGACTTAGAATTTATGTTAAAGTTTTTGTAATACCTCAAATATTTTCAAAGTTCATTGACATATGGCTTTGAAACTTTGCACACTTGTTCACCATCATTACCCCAACCTGTAAACAGGAGGAGGTAACTGTATCAAGCATTTTTTTTTACTATCAAGCACTTACAATAGTCGAGCGTTGCTGTCCTACCGACAGCTCTTGTTTCATTATATACTATGTAAAAATTTTGTGAACGCAACTATTCTTTAACCAGATGGCAGATTTTGCTTAAACTTCCAGGGATGAACAACCTTAATGTGTAGATGGTAGTTAAGGAAGGAATTTTTGCTGCAATCAAATTTAACTGAATTATGGCCCTTTGTTGATTTTTTCACTATATACCATATAGAAATTTTGTGAACGCAACTCCTCTTAAACTGGATGGCAGATTTTGCTTAAACTTCCAGGGATGAACAACCTTTAATGTGTAGATAGTAGTAAAGGAAGGAATTTTTGCTGTGACCAAATTTAACATAATTATGGCCCTTTGTTGATATTTTAACTATATACAGTGGGGGCATCCGTGTCCTTTGGACACAGTTCTAGTTTTTATTATAAACACAGAATACAAAAGTGTATAACTTTGATTTTCTTGTTTCAGCCTGCATGTGAAACAGATAAGAAAAATCTCCAACAAGAAGTGGAGCAGTTGCGAGGTATCTTTTTATGTTATCAATCTATTCATTTTTTTTAGCATGCTAGAATGAATTTGAGTGTATTCAGGGCATTTTTTTTCAAAATTGTGAAGGGGTCTGAGTCTGTTCATTTTGTGGAAAAAAAAGCGCAGTTATAAAATTGTAATAAAAAATTGACAAATTATGTGGCATTTTGAAACTGAAAACAGTTTGCTGTGAACGATTGATTATAATTTCTGACCTGTGTAAAGGCAGCATGGCGCTGATTTGGGCAGTGTGGTCAAGATTAAAAATGGGGGAGGCCCGCTATTCCTTGCTTGATTTAACACTAGTAATATACAGGAACATCTTTGTGCAGTTCCTTCATTTCTGTGGGATTTTCAGCCAAACTTTCATTATATTTATTGTTGGTGCATATAATGGGACAAGGTACACATCGCTTTCTGGTGTGCATATGAACCTTCTACATATGTGTAGATTTGTTATGACATTCAGAATGTTACAATTCAACCATGATTTATGGAACAGTTTAGTTTTTTCCTGCTATTTTTTTTTTTCATCATACATACATGTATTAAAAAATACAACATTGCTTTGTTTTCAGCTGACATAGAGGTTCATAAAAATAGAGAATGTGGCAGAAGGTATGTTTGTTTGCATATAATTTTTTTACATTCAGACTGGTTGAAGTCAAATCTTTTTAACCCTTGTTAGCAGCAATACATTCTACCAGTGCAGACCAAGATCAGGCGATACATTTGTGCTGTCTGATCATCGTGTGCATTTTTTGTTCACTATTCAGTTTCTGCATAGTTTGAAATTTTCCTTAAATAATATTTAATATATAATACTTTATCATGAATGATTTTTGGTCCAGTTAAAAAGACAGACAAGTTTATTAATGATATTTAGCATGGTAAGGGTTAAAAATAAGGTTCTGTATCTTCATGATTACATGTCCCCCACCCCCCCTCCAGTTTTTCTTAAAAATTTAATCAAGATGTTTTCAAGCCATTTAATTATCTTTCAGAAAATGATATAAATCAATCAATTGTGAATTCCTAAAGTTTCTATCATAGAAATTTTATGAGATGTTTTGCAAAAATAAGACCTGGGAAATTATTGGCCAAATGATTTTCCCTGGTCACAGCCATTTTTTCTCCTGTCACCTGTGCTGGTAAGTTCAGGAAATGAACTTATTTATTTAAATAAGGTAAAGCGTAATTATATAATATTAATAATATCTGTTATGTGTTGTGGTTCGGATCGGAATATACGTCCCGAGGTGACCCGCCCATGGGCGGGTAACCGAGGGGCGGATATTCCGATCCGAACCGCAAACATATGTCAGATATTTTTTCTTGCATATTCTACCATATTCCATTATATTTCAAATTCTTTATCTTTACTTTCAATGGAAATTTATATCATGGCAACCGTAACTACTTTCTTACAACAGCGTATGAAATTGCAACATTATTCATAACGGTAAAATGACGTCATCCTAAGCGTGCCATTGTACAGCACGCAACTCATCTGGCACCCCCCATGCCAGATGAAATTTCCGGCATGGGTAAAACTAACGGAAATGCCAGTCTGCTATGCAAGAAATATATCTACTTAATAACATAACATCATTATTATTATTTTAAAATAGTTATATATGTTTTACTCAGTGCATGCTGTTTCATTGATTGTTAACTATTTTTAATGTTTCAGTGATTGTGACAGATTTATTAACAAGGAGAGAGATGGTTTAATTGAGGACATGTACAAAGTTGTAGGTGCTCTGCCCCTCATCAGTATGTATAAAGCCAACATCAATTTAGGAAGCTACCAAGATCAGATTTCACGTTTAGCTTCACAGATGGATCAAGAGTAAGTTTGTAATATTGTTTGATATTTTAATATCCAAGAAGATATATACTGTAAATTTTTTATGCTCTCCTTCAAAGATGTAAGTTATTTTTCTATGCATATGTCACTTGAGGACAAGGCATTGTTCAATTAATAGCAAGAGAACTTGAGCCTCATCTTTTGTTGGGAGGTTTGGCCTGTAGAAGACTGGCCTAAATAGGTCAAGGTCGTAGTGACACTGACAACATTACTTTGTATTGTCAATTACTGAAGAATGTTTTGACCTATAGCCATTAGAAGAGGTCAGTTGATCAAAAGTCAATTTGATCACAGTAACATTGACAGTAAATTTGTATTTAGGGCTAATTTTGTGCTGAACTTTGATGCTGATCCCCTTCCTGTACATGTCACACTGAAGTCAGAACTTTTTATCGCACCATTCAATTTATGATTTTTTGTTGTCATTTGGAATTTGTCTGTTTATTGGTACATATACCATATAAAGAAGACAAAGGCACTGTTTAAGTGCAAAATTTACTGAAATTTTTATACTGGAAAGTTTACTATTTTTATTATAAGTACTGTTGCAAAGTAATTACCTAAACATAAGAAATCTGAATGAAATACATGCTGTTATCATATCTTATATCTGTGTACAAGTGAATAGATAATGATAGCTGTATTGAATCACTGGTTTGAATGGCATTGTGAGAGCTCTCATCAGTTTTCTTAAGTTATCTAACTGAGCTGTTGAGTTTATGATAGTGATAAAGATTATAAACATTATGGTCCTCTTATCTATTGTACAATTTTCGTATATTCTTTACTAAACAACTCTCCCCTTATAGATGTTCCCCTATTCCCCATCTCTTGTTTTAGAGATAAAAAGAAGAGTGAGTTTATAAAAACAATAAAGATTCATTTAACTTATTTTGTACTTTAATTAACATCATATTTTAGGAATATGTAATGCCCTAAGGATGTTTATCAGACAATAAACAGTAATACCTTTGAAAGATTACAAAGGCATACAATCTGTCCATTTTTGCTTTGAAAACAAATGCATTTCATAAATATTTAAAGAAACATTTAAGTTTTTATGCATCTTATTATATTTTTGTTTAATTACATACACATGCTCTTGTAATTGTATTTCTGACATTGCTATTTATGAATTTCAATTCAGTATTCACAAATGGCCTAGAATTGACATTTGAGAAATGGCCATCAATCAAGTCAGCAATGGTTAGTCTTAACATGTATTATTTTATAGATTTTGTTTGTTTGTGATATTTCAGTGCATTGAAGAAGCAGGATCAGCAACAACAACAACAACAACAGCAGCAGCAAGCTTTGGACCCTCAACAACAACAACAACAACCAGTAGATACACAGCAACAACAGTCATTGGATCAGCAACAACCACAACAGCCAAGTGACACTCAACAACAACAACAACAACAAAATCCATCGGTAGATGGACAGCAACAACAAGCACCTGTTGACACTTTACAACAACAACAACATGGACAAGTTGACACCATGCAGCAACAACAACAGGGACTAGATGACACCATGCAGCAGCAACATCAACAGGGACCAGTTGACACCATGCAACAACAAGCACCTTCTGACAACCAACAACAAACTCCAGTAGATGTTCAGCAGCAACAGGAAGCACCTGTTGACCAGCAACAGCAGCAACCATACGATCAACAAGCACAAGCAGCTGATACAAATGTCCAGACAGATGACCTAAACCAGCAGCCAGGGGTTGGACCTGCTCCTATCATGAACCAGGATCCATCTGTAGATGAAACCAAGAAAGATGCCAGTAATGTCAATGACCCAGATAATGTAAAAGCACTGGATGCAGACAGATTACAAAATGCTGAACAGGGTGAAGGTATGTAGCATGTATTTGACTTACTGAAATTGTGGCATTTAGGTTAAATTATCTGATTAGCATTGTTTAGATTACTGGTGTCATATCACTATGATGATCTGAAAGTACGGATCAGTTGGAAACCTTATCCCCACCACCAGGGAATCACAGAGGATCATCAGGGAAGTAACGCATACCTTTTGTCTATTTCTACTAGGTCTATGCTTTGGTTTTTTATTTTGGTGCTACAATAGCAAGGTATATGTTCAACTTTTATCATCTGACTGTCTCAGCAAGGCAGTGGTTTGATAGTCAGAGTCCTGCTTTTCATGTTTGTAGGGGGAACCTGGTTGCACTTGACTAAGCTAAGTTACAAGTTACTAAGTTACTTAATTTGGTTCTATCAATGGTGGCTGTGATTTGGCATCAGAAGACAGGAACCGCAGCCAAATGCCAGCAAACTTAAGCAAACTTAATTAGAAAAAAAATAGTTTATGATGGTGAAAAATGATATTTTAGTAATTTTAGCTAGAATATCTAGAATGGGAGGAATTATTTTGTTGCTTTTCTTCTTTGCCAAACTAAAATGACTCTGATATTTAGTAAGATAGTTCATCCATAATTATGATACCATAATGGTTAACCAGATTAGTTTGAATTAAGTTTGTAGAATAATATAAAACTATTATTAAGCATGAACATTATGCTTACATATTGGTACATAATCAGTACTGTTGTTTGATAGACTTTATCATTTTCAGCTCAATTATTCGAAAAATAGGGAGTAATTGTACCCACCCCGGTGTTAGTGTCACACTTAAGTTTTTTTTCTGTGCTAGTTGGTAGAAGGAAAAAAGGTTAAATTATCCAAGCTGATAGTCAAGCATGCTGTCCTACAGGCATCTCTTGTTATTAACTGGTTAAAACATCTGAACTGGATGCATAGACTGGTTTTAAATACATACATTAGTTTATATTATTCACAAATCATTGATTTCATCAATCCATTATAGTGCCCAGAAAATATTTCTGGTAACTTTCTGTTGTTTCTACATCCTGAAATGTTACCTCTTTTCATTTTATCATCATTTTGTCATCGTGTGGCATGCATGTATTTATAGCTAACACAACAACAGCAGATGCCGCAGGAACGAAAACAACAACCAAGGGCACATTAGGGACAACTACAAAACCTGGTATTAAGAATGATAATTCCCAAATTCCTTTGAATGTGGCAGTAGATCCTGGGCAATCCACTGATACTAATATACCCGTTCAACCTCATAGTATGTCCAAATTATCACAATATTAGCACTTACTTAAATGATATATCATTGGTCATTTCTTCTTATTAGTATTACGACATTTACTTTAGTATATCATCTAGCTTTCTTATTTTTAAGCTGCATTTTTGCAAATGAAAATTATTGTCTTTTTTTTATTGATATTCTTAAGCTCACTTAACACATAGTGCAAGATAGGCAGGATCAGTGAGCTTTTATATGGTCACTGTCCATCAAGCTTCCAGCATATGTAGTAGTAATACATAGTATAGTATAGTATATTCACATTTTCTTTTTAATGTGAAATCTCTTGGTACCACTGGGTCAATTTTTATGAAACTTTCAAGGATTTTTCCTTGAATGAAGCCCAATTAGAATTGTTTAGATACATGTCATCCTATTCCATGAAGATCTTTGGTTGCCATGGTTACCAAGAGCAAAATACAAATGTATATCTTTGCAAAAAGTTTATATGTCATTCCCCTGTTGAGAAAAATATCTTGACCTTCATGTCTTAATTAGAATTTCTAAAGTATTTACTTAGTTTATCTAAAAAAAAATTTGGTATTGAAAGGACTAATTGATCTCTACATGTGATATATACATTGCACAAAGTGTGAATTTAAATCTTCATATTTGAAATTACATGTCCCAAAGCTTAGATGTTTTGCACATAGCTTTATAATGAACATTTTTATTGTATTTATACATGATTCCATTCATAACTGACCTTACCTTTAAAAACTAAATTTTTGGTATTTTACCTTTCCTAATTCAATGTCTTGCAATGGTATCACCTAAGTCACATGACTGTATTCCATATAGTTGTTTCTACAATAAAAGTCCTAAGTTTCTACAATATATGATATGACCTGTGGTATATGAAGTCATTCCTTACAGTTCCTGTGATATATAACCAAATTCCTTATTTCCACCAGGGTGGTAGAATATATGACCTATAAGAACATGTAATTACTATAATATCATTATGTAATCAAATTCCATAATAGTTGACAATTCCATATATATAGTAATGCGGTAGGAAAAATAAATAATGATGTTATACTATTTCTAGATTTGCAATTGCACATCATGTATATACCTTGCATTTTAACAGTGTAACTTTAAATACATTTAATGATTTTTCATGTTATACATGAATTTTTCTGTCTTAAAATTTTGTGCTAATGTACACATTTATTATAGATTATGTTATTTTTCTATACATATAATTTACATAGTTCACACTGTTCACGTTTAATGGACCATCACCCATAAATATAACGTTGTGAACTTTTAAGCGTTAGGGTTAATGTAAGTTTGGAACAGAAGCTTTGAATTTGTTGTTATTTAAGGTAAAAGGTAAAAATTTAAAATGTCTTCATCAGCTTATTTATTTACGAGTAATCATATTAATGATATAGAAGAACAAGGGTCAAGGTTCAATAATTTAGTATTGGGACAAGATGAATCAGACTAAAATTTAATAAACAACTTAAGGCTCAAATGAACTTGATCAACTGAGACCATTTCTGCATTAAATATTCATGAAGAAACTGTGAATCTGATCTGATGAATAAAAATGTATATATCAAAATCTTTTAAACATATATAAGAGTTTGCAGGTCAAAGGCATATTTGTTGAATATCCTCAAATTTTGAGAATAATAATATTATGAATACTGAATTTTTCAAGTAAGGCTTCTTTGGCCAGTGTGGTTAAGATAGCTGACTTTAAATCATTTGGGAATCATTAGAGTATGTTTTGAAACCCACCACAGGCTTTTAATTCTGTTGTATCAGGAAGCTTTTCAGTTGATGGTCACTACTATTGGGCCCCCATGTACCTCGATAATTTAAAAAAACCCAGACATTTCTAAACAAATAAAGCTTGAATGTTACTGTATGTCTTACGACCTTTACAAAGGATGAGTGCAGAATAAATATAGAAATTTCAAAGGGATTGTTTCATATATATTTCAAGCTTAATTCTCATTAAAATAAATGTTAAGCTGTTATTCAATGAGGTATGGGAAGCCATTGCTGTCTGTGAATAATTTATCAAATTGTTTTTATATGAGTTCACAGTTACAAAATATGAAACCACTGATGTAACCAGGGCAGCAACATTAGAATAAGACAGCTATATCTTGCCATAAATGATGTGCTTCTTTTCCATTTTTCTCTATAATGATTCAAATGTCTTGTTTAACATCAGTGGCAGATTCTATTGGTAAGAACATGGTTAGACTGGTACAGAATCCATCATGTCTGATAATATACATGTATTACATTCTGCTTAGCCCAAATTAACAAGCTTACAACATGTTATGGTAAGGTTTGTAAGGTACATAGGCACAGCTTGTATTGATTTTGTCCGTGCAAGTTCAAATACATGTCTTGATCTTTATATGACAAATACATAAAAATTACATGGTCTGATGAATAAGTACTGAGGGTTGACAGCAAAACTGTTTTTAGTCCTTCTTTATTTCATACAAGTAACTTCAGTTTTATGGTCAATCCTCAATTACATTATTTTTAATAATCATGCATAACTAGACTCATATAAGAAACTGAAACATGCATACACCTGTAAATGTTAAAAATTGTTAAAATTTATATATGTTAGTATTTCTTTTGTTACTACTACTAATTAGTCAGATTGGAATCTCTTTTTCAAAAGATGTTTTTTTCTCAATTTTTAAGCAACTAATTCATTGGTTAGTTTAAATTTTACAATATTTGATTCATCAGGGACAATATATTTAGGTTCTGAACAACAATTATATAGAAAACTGGAAAGCTTTTATGTGAGATATACATAAGTGCACTGAAAAGTTTTGATTTATCAACAACCATCAAATACATTCTTATATACATTTCTATATACTATAATTATGTTTCTATAGCATACTGAGAGGTTGTGTAAAATTTACTAACACTTTATTAAAGCATGTATTTGTACAAAAAGCATGATTTTATGTGGAGAAATATAGATGTCTAATGATATATCATGGAGAAATTTTCCTTTTTTAAAGGGACAGTTCATTATCTCATTTTCATTAGGTTTAAAATCACTTGAAGTTTCTATTAAGTAATGGAAAGTTTTGAAAATTCTCTTCTGAAGGATTTAAAAGTTTTTGTTATTTACAGACTGTATGTCTTATCAAATTATATATTTCTGCATAACTAGTATTCTTACCAAATGTTTTTCTATTATGATACAACTGGTTTATTATGATATAAATGGTAAATAAAAATCTGGAAAATTGGTCATCCCTCAGAAGCAATCAGACAGCGATATTATATAAAAATTGCTGACTCTGTTTGATTCTGTATACAAACTGCTTTACAATTCAAGTGCATCATGATCATGATTTTTCTCCGCATATTGTCATGCCTTGTAAGAATGGTTATGATATAGTTGAGGGATAAATTTTACTATTTCTGGTTAAATTAGTTGGTGATGACAAAACTCCAGCTGGTGATGGTATATTGGGAAACGATGGTAAGGAAGATGGTGACTATGACGATGATGAAGACGCCAATGCTGACAGGAACGCAGCTGATGACGACGATACCTTGAGAGTGAACAAGGTAAAGGCACTTGCACCATGAGAAATTTGCACTGCTTATATTCCATGCATTACACAATGAGGGCTTGCATTGCTTAATTATTGTATGTTTACTTAAAAAAAGTTAGAACAAAAAGTGTTAGATATCGATAAGAGAAACAAAAGTAAATTCATTATAACATTGGTGAAATTATTTTGTTTTTAATATCATACTTTTACCCTTGTTATTACTGTTCACAGCAAAATTTAACCAAGAATTTTAAATATTATGAAACTTCATGAAAATACAACAAATAACTAATTTTATTCAGCATGAAATAAATACATGTTCATAGCTGACAATAAATAGCAAACATATTGAAAATAAATTTGTTTCAGATGCAAAACTATGAGAAGTTTTGTAGAAAATAGGTCAAATTAAAACACTAGTTCGGAAAAGAGGTGCTCACTGTGATACTATGGGCAAGGGCAAAGCTTGGTTTAAGACAAAGTACTTGTAGAAATTACATATTTGAGCCGCGTCACGACAAAACCAACAAAATGGGTTTGCGACCAGCATGGATCCAGACCAGCCTGAGCATCCGCGCAGTCTGATCAGGATCCATGCTGTTCGCTATCAGTTCACTACTTTTTAAGGGGTTTTTTAAGCAAAAGCATGGCCCTGATAAATGCACGGATGCTGGATCCTGCTGGCGAACCATTAGTTGGTTTTGTCTGAGCAGCTCATATTTGTTTTGACATAAAATGTTTTCCCTTTCAACGGTGATCAAATTATTAATTTTGCCCTTATCATGCTTAATATTTTAAAATTTAACTTTTTTATCTTTTAATCTGACAACACTTTTTTATAATTTAGGAGAAATTTTAAAAAATTTTTTATTTTAAAACTGTAGGGAATAGTGACACCATATAGACTGTTTAACATACACATTGGGCTGCATGAGACTTGGTAGTGCTGCTAGGGTGAATAAATTATGTTTTAAGATTTTCCCTACATGTAGGGGAATTTCCTATAACTGCATCAGTTTTTAGGAAGTATTTTAAGATTTTGATGTACTGTATTTCAACTGTTATGATGAAATCATAATGAGGATTCACATTTAGTAAATTTGAGAAATTTTATTTGTGTATGATTTAAAGCTTTGCTTTGTTGCATATTTTACACAATTATTTTGCATTAAGATGAAAAAGTATTTAGCACTTACAACTGTTTATACAATACAATCTTATAAGTAGCCTGAGGGACTGTAAGATGAGATTAGTTTGTACATGTTTGCACTATTTAATCTTTTGTAGAAAAAAACATTAAAAGTATGAACACAATTACTCAATATTATACAATTTCAGCCCTTGTAGTAAAATAAAACCTTTGAATTAAACAGAATAAAAAAATCTTCCACAAGTAGTCAATAATTGTAATTGTATGAAAGTTTTAAGACCAATCAAATTCAATGATAAACTTTAAATAAATCATCAAGATTAAAGAAATTGGTTGATAAGGTACTTGTAAATAATTGAGATCACTAAGATGGCATTTGGCATCTTGTAAGATAATTCTTTGCTGTTAATAAATATTTTTTAATTAACACAGCATGTAGGTTAGGTTGATTCTCATTGGACAATCACGAGATTGATATAATCCATATAACACACAGCAGCTGCTGCAAAATATGGATTCGACTTGATTTGATAAGAAGATTCCATGGTTCAGTACTGCATATGTCAATAAGAAAGAAACTTTTGAAATGTTATAATATAATTAAGACTGTGTAGATTTTTTTTAGTTATAACTTTCATATATCATGGGCAATATAATAATAACCTGTCAACATTTTAACAACTACTAGTAGAGAAAAAACTGGTTGTCTCAAATATATAGTAAAGCCTAATAATTCTATCAGGGGGTCATGAAAATGTATTGTGTGTAGCATTTTGACTTCCTTCACTAATTTTAACATAATGTAACTAAAAAGGAAATTAAACCTTTACTTTGTTGGGTAAAATGTGTAGACTAAACTTTCTGTACGTAATTAACTCCTCTGTAATAAAGAAACTGGTAATGTAAGATTATTTCTGTTAGTAATAAGAAGTAAAGACATCTATTAGTTATAAGAAGTAAAAGTAAATACAAACATTTGCTTACTAAAGCAACACTCTCATTTTTAGAGAGAAAATCCTACCAAATTAAAGGTTATTTTGAGCAGCAAACAGTAAAAAGACTGTTTAGACTGCAGAAATGACAACTTGCTCTATATGGGTATTATTGACCTTTTCGAAAACATAGCTAAACACCGTTTTCCGGTACGTTACCGTTTTAGCTCTGGGGAATTACACCAAATGAAGTACATAACACAGTTACGTGATATTTCTATTTTTCTATTATTATTTAACCGTTTAAGGTGAAGAAAATTGATGTTTTTGAAAATTATCAATATTCCTTTAATATCTATTGCAAATTATTCAAAAAATAAATTGTTTAAAATGAAAATCAATAAAATTAAACAGACGTGGTGGAATCTACCAAAATAAATAAGGTTATTTTCTGCGTAAACTTGTGTATTTACTTTATTTTTTGTATGGAATTATTCTAACAATGATATCTAATTATTTTTTAGCTCACCTGAGCATATGCTCAGGGTGAGCTATTAGGATCACTCTTCGTCCGTTGTCTGTCGTCTGTAGTACGTCGTACGTCGTCCGTTGTCCGTTCACACTTTTCAAACAACATCTCCTCTGAAACCATAAGGCAGATCATAATGAAACTTCACAGGGATGTTCCTTGTGTGAAGCCTTAACAAAGTTGTTCAAAGAATTCCATTCCATGCAGAACTCTGGTTGCCATGGCAACCAAAAGAAAAAACTTTAAACATCTTCTTCTAAAAAAACCAAAGAGCTAGAGCTTAGATATTTGGCATGAAACATCTTCTAGTGAGTGTCTACCAAGATTGTTCAAATAAAAGCCCTGGGGTCAAAATTGGCCCCGCCCAGGGGGGTCATTGATTTTCCCTATATGCATATAGTAAAAACTTTAAAAAATCTTCTTTTAAAGAACCCAAAGAGCTAAAGCTAAGATATTAAGCATGAAACATCTTCTAATGAGTGTCTACCAAGATTGTTCAAATAAAAGCCCTGGGGTCAAAATTGGCCCCGCCCAAGGGGGTCATTGATTTTCCATATATGCATATAGTAAAAACTTAAAAAATCTTCTTCTAAAAAACCCAAAGAGCTAGAGCTTAGATATTTGGCATGAAACATGTTCTAATGGATGTCTACCAAGTTTGTGCAAATAAAAGCCCTGGGGTCAAAATTGGCCCCGCCCCAGGGGGTCTTTGATTTTCCCCTATATGCATATAGTTAAAAACTTTAAAAAATCTTCTTTTAAAAAAGAACCCAAAGAGCTAGAGCTAAAGATATTAGGCATGAAAACATCTTCTAATGAGTGTTCTACCCAAGATTGTTCAAATAAAAAAGCCCTGGGGTCAAAATTGGCCCCGCCACAGGGGTCATTGATTTTCCCTATATGTATATAGTAAAAACTTAAAAAATCTTCTTCTAAAAACCAAAGAGCTTGAGCTTAGATATTTGGCATGAAACATGTTCTAATGGATGTCTACCAAGTTTTTTTTCAAAATAAAAGCCCTGGGGTCAAAAATTGGCCCCGCCCCAGGGGGTCACATTGATTTTCCCTATATGCATATAGTAAAAACTTAAAAAAAATTTTCTTTAAAGAACCCAAAGAGCTAGAGCTAAGATATTTTAGCATGAAACATTTTCTAATCAGTGTCTACCAAGTTTGTTCAAATAAAAGCCCTGGGGTCAAAAGTGGCCCCGCCCCAGGGGGTCAATGATTTTCCCTATATGCATATTAGTAAAAACTTTAAAAATTTCTTTTAAAGAACCCAAAGAGCTAGAGCTAAGATATTTAGCATGAAACATCTTCTAATGAGTGTCTACCAAGTTTGTTCAAAATAAAAGCCCTGGGGTCAAAATTGGCCCAGCCCAGGGGGTCATTGATTTTCCCTATATACCTGTAGTAAAAACTTAAAAATCTTTTCTTCTAAAAGAACCCAAAGAGCTAGAGCTAAGATATTTAGCATGACACATCTTCTAATGGGTGTCTACCAAATTTGTTCAAATAAAAGCCCTGGGGTCAAAATTGGCCCCGCCCCAGGGGTCATTGATTTTCCCTATATACATAGAGTAAAAACTTAAAAATCTTCTTTTAAAGAACCCAAAGAGCTAGAGCTAAGTCATTGTTTTTCATTATTTGTGTATAGTAAAAACTTAACATCATGAAACATCTTCTAATGGGTGTCTTCCAAGTTTGTTCAAATAAAAGCCCTTTGGTTTAAACTAGCCCCGCCCTGGGGGCCTATGTACAGGTGAGCGACCCCAGGGCCATCATGGCCCTCTTGTATATAAAGAAATAACTGTTTTATTTCAATTTAATTTTAAAAAAGGTCGAAAACATCGAGTTCGCTATTACACTCCATTAGGCGAATTCCCCAGAGCTATGTACAGAAAGTACCGGAAAACGGCGTTTAGCTAGGTTTTCGAATTCGTGAATTGTCAAAACTTCCTTGTTTCTAACAATATATATTTTTATGTTTTTTTAAACCACTCTTATTACAAAAACAAAAAAAAAACAAAAAAACAACTTTAATTATATTGTAAACCAGTCCTGCTTACTTCAACTTTACAGAAAATGTAATGAAAAAAAAAAATAGAAAGAAAAGAAATTTAAAAAAAAAAAAAATCATAGAATTTAGAACTTAAGTTACTTAAAAAGAGCTTCAAGCAATGCTGAAAATTTATGTCTTAACTTCTATTTTAATAATAATATTACAAATGTATATTATTTCACAATTTGGGCTGTTTGTCTATTTCTGTTGTTTTTCTCTTTCTGTCATCTCGTTTCATTTGCTGTATCTATATATATATATATATCTAGGATGGCCAGGAATACAATTATGACGATGGTGATGATGATGATAACGATGGTGACTACGACTATGATAAAGTATGTCATCCACGCATTGTCATGATGTGATGCTTTGATAACATTTGGTCCAGAGTTTAACTAGTGTAATAATTCTCTGCTGTGGCTTTTATATACAACATTATACATTTGTATCATAAATTTTGGGACTTGATATGGGGTTTTTAGAATGTGGATTCACTTTCACAAAATATTAGCTCACAAATTATATATTGTATGAGTTTAAAGGCTAAAAAAATACCTGGGCTTCACATATATTCTTATTTAATTACATATTTTCTTTTTCAATAAAATCATTTCTTTTGGCAAATTTTTCATAACAATTGTTAAGTCAGTGGCTATTGCTAATTTATGCTATTTATTATAATGTATTTATAGTAAAACTAAAGATCAAATACATTAATAAGCATAAGGTGAAGCTTCTTGTTTTACAAGGGAGTTGTAACTCATGGAAATAGAATATTACATTTATATAATGTTTTACATCAAATGTGTTTATAAGGTAATGAATGCAGCTTTTATTGTTGTAAATTAAATACAGCACTGTGTCTATTATCTCTTCTATGAACAGGAGGGAATCATTTAGATTAGAGGGATTTTTGAATGCCATGAAAAAAAAATAAGAATTGCAAAAATATTGGGCATTGGGAAAGGGTGGAAGTTAGAAAAAAATCCCCTTTTTAAAGAGTTTTCTATTAAAAATATTATGTATTTTGAATATATTTTATAGCGGGAAAATTTTTAAAAAAAAGAATCAAAAAAGCTTTAATAAATTTTCGCCAAATAAATTTCCACAAACTGACCCAAAAAAATGTTATTCAAGGTTTAAAAAAATTTTGTGTGATCATAAATGAAAGTGTGTATGGGGGACTTATATACAAAATCGAAATTTTGTTAAAAAACATGGTTTATGGCTCTATAAATAGCCCCCTCTTTAATCCTTTGTTTTTTCTTTTAATTTTTTCCCTTTAAAGTAACTTTACTTTGTCAGTTTTTTTAAATTTTGAATTGTATTTACCCATTTTTTTGTTGTACTTTTTCTGTGATTTAATTTACGATGCCCCTTTTCTGTAGTTTTTTTCCTGTGAATTAATTCATGATGCCCTTTTGATGTAGTTTCTTACTCCTCGGAAGCATGGATAATTGTTAGCTAGTACATTATATAACATAGAGGTTTGTGAAAATTTTACGAATACAATTATGACCATGGTTTAATTGCATAGATTAGCTGTAAAATCAAAATTATTTTGATTTTGTTCACAAGAATTTTTGTCCAGATACTTTAAAAGATTTACGTATTACATGACAAGACTTGTTTGTGATTGCTGTGTTGTGGCTCATATATGGGCAGCGGTATGTCGGGGGGTGGAGGGGAGTTGTTTGCGTTTGGTACTGAAAATTTTTATATGTAAGACATTCTAATGATTTGTTTCTTCAATGCTGGTAACATTCCATTTTAAGGTGCTTATATTGACTGATAATGTTTTTGGTGCTATATTTGTTAGTTACTTATGATTACTGTATTTGCTGAATAACTCTCAAAATAAAACTTTCTGCATGTATTTGGTTTTATCTTTTAAGGTGTTTTTCTAGTTTAAGGTGACTGTTTTAATTGAGGCTGTGTTAATTGAGGCCATGATATATCTCTGACTCTCCATGATTGAAGGTGGGAAAAGATTGTTTTGTACAAGAGTCTTTATATTGATTCAAAGACATTTGCTTGCCTGCTAGTTGTTCTTCGTACTTTAAATGAAGATTTAAGTTTGTATGTATCTGATTTTTCTCACTGAATGTTTCAACATTTCCAAGATTTTTTACAAAGCCTCATTTCAGCTTGTTTCAGCTTGTTTTATTTCTCTCTGAGTGTGTGTATGGCTTAACTCTGCATTTGTTCTTTGTACAGTTACATTTTTATATTGGACAAAGCATATCCAGCATGCTTCCATCTCGTAGACAACTTACCTGATGTCTTTGTTGTTATATTTAGATACCCTATCTAGTTATCCTTAACTTATCATATAGATTGTCATGTATTTCCATAAATGCTTAAAAATTTAAACTTATTATGCATGCTTTTAATGACTAAACAGTTAACACCAATAGTCAAACCAAGTAATTTTGCTAAGTTTATGTTTCATTTGATATAAGATTTGTAATGGATTCTTTGCAAAATGGAATTGATTCCCTTTTTCTCTGTGTTGGATAAGAATCCAATTTTTTGGTATATTTTAATATCATAATTCAACAAAGAGTAAAATTTAATGTCTAGTGGTTTATGTGTCGGCTTCTTAAATGATGGATTAAGAGTAACTTATTAGTGGTCAATGTGTCTGCTGTTTAAACCAAGAATCAAGAGTATCTTTAAGTGGTTTATTAAACAGTATCATTGAGAAACCATCAAAATAATATTGATCAATATAATGAAAATTAGGCTAACATTAATATTTTTACTAAAGCTAAATCCTAATTTTAATCTGCAGCAACATAATGAAAATCTGCTCTGCTGGATGTACAATCATATTACATATACATGTATATGCATTATTTATTTATCCTGAATGAATTTTGAATATAAGCATGCTTTACCTATTCATTTATATCTGTGTCCTTGAAAAGTTAGCTTTTGCAATAGATTGTCATTCTATATGTACTCTAGTGTTAAGTTTAAGTATTTTTAAATTAATCATTGTATGCATTGTAGAAAGCATATATGTTATTCCTGCCTCTTTCTTTCCAAGGAGCTATCAGCTTTTGATATGTTTCTTTTATTACATTGTATGTATGGAAGGAAAAAGTAATTTATATTTTATTACCTTGAAGTCCTGTATTTGAAATTTATCAGTTCTTAGTGACATGTAATACTCATAATTATTTGATAAAAGAAAAAAAATTTTTTTTTTATATAAATATAAATGATAAAAGTGACGTAACAAGAAAATTATACTAAAAAATAACTGACATTAATTGATTTCTTTCATTTTAATATCATATAAATTTGGTACAGAGTGCGAGATTTTGTTCAAAAGCCTTCGTAATATATATGTATAACTTACAGTACAGTATAAGTGCAAATTTGGACAAAAAACTTTACAATTATACTTTACCCTGCTGTAATCAGTTCCTTGCGAAAGTGAAGGCAACTAGTACTGGTAAACTGCTTGACTGCCTGCCCAGGAACGATGCGGTGGCTGAACTGTGCTCTGGTAAATTCAATGTGGCGTGATCTGGAGTGAAAACTACCAACACAACTACCACCACATCCATTTAGTCTGACAAGGCTCTATACTGCTGACTGACCAACTTCAATGTTTTTTCTTGATAACCCTAATATGAAGTGGCCATGACCATGTAAGATATCCAGTAGAATATGGGTATTTTTTTTGTAACAGAGTTAAGGGTGTGGCTATTTTGTTTTGCTGAAATGAAGCAAAGTCCTGCAACAGACTGTTTTTTATTCAGGGAAATGTTAATCTATCATTCATTAGTGTACATGAATGTAAAGAAATGATCATATGATGATTGCCTTGTATTGAACTGTTGTAACAGCTTTCAAGTATTGACTCATTTATTTATGTGGTTTTCTTGAAAAAGTTGTTCATCAATGATAGGTTGTTTTTTTTACATAATATGTACTATGTAATGAACAAATCAGTTTTAGATTGCATGTAAAAATCATGTTATTAAAAACATATATGTCATTGACTTAATTTATTTCGACAGGCATATAGGGCTTAGGGACAGTGCGGTTAAGATATCAGCTTAAAAATAAAGTGTTCTGAATATAGTCAAAAGAACTATGAAAATAGTCAAAAGAACTGTGTTGATCATTTTCCCCCCATTTTGCACTTTGATATTGCACAAGAATTGTGTGTTATGCCTGCACTGCTTTAGCAGTTTTAATACATATTGATTGTTTCACTACAATGTAAGAAAGACTTTGGACAGATCACTATTTTGCTGAAATCACAAAAACACCTAGCATGATATGTTACCGATTCTGGCAAATCTACCGAGCTTAACAACCTTTATGATAGATTTGTGAACAGCAGTTAATTGATTAATGGGATTAATATGGTATAATGCAGGCAAATATAATGTCACCTTGCAGTTAATAGGTTGAAAAAAAAACATTCAGAGACAAACTTAAAAAAAAAAAAAAACATTTTAATTTCTGCTGAAATTATATGTAGATATATTATGCTTATTTTCAGAGGATATTGTTGCATGCATGCATTGTTTATACATAGCAGAAACATTGAATTAGTTATGCACTTATTATGTGGAATGTCAGAAACATTTAATTATCAAAAGATTAAGATTATATATCATTGTACCTTAAACTATTAAATTTTGCTTGTTTAGCATAACTAGTGGTACAAGGTAAGTGAATAGAGGCTAGAGTAAAATAATACCTCATAAACTGGTTATGTATACATATCCAATGTAACTGGTTGACTTTACATATTCAAGGTAACTGGTTAACTATACATATCCAAGGTAACTGGTTAACTTAGTATATATGGATACCTATAAGCTGGTCTTAGATGAATACCGAAAGAACTGTTGGTTATGATATCTAAACACTAAATAACTGTGTTGGTACAAACACAGAACTGGTTAACTATAAAATTTATATGATTCTCACCATTTGGAAACCAAAGCAATTTTAACTGACCTTAGCTACTGTAGTCAACCAATAGATTGGTGGAAAGTAGACACCAAGAATATTGGTTAACTGTAGACTATATTAGGTTAATGCAGACATCTGTTGAGGTGGTTAACTTCAAACGTCTATATATGACTGATTAACTGTAAACACATTAGGGAATTATAGACATGTGCCAGTATGTCCTAAAAGCTGTTTGATTGTATATATTAAAAAACTCTTAACTGTAGACATTCTCGAAACAGTCTTCTTGTATTTATTCATAAAACTGGTTTAACCATAAGTGGCCACAAAATTTGTTAATTGTAAGGATCCACAACACTGGTCAAATGTTGCTAAGACACCTATGGTACAAGTTAAATGTGGCCACCTACAAAAGCTGGTAAACTGTATCTGGAACAGCATAAATTTATTTAGTTTTACCTGTCAATAGCAACAGAATTTCATTTCTACCTTTATTATGGGAATTTTAACCTTGTTTAAACTGTATGTGACAGTTATATGATGTTTTTGAGTAGCGCAAATTACTTCATGTTATTTTTTTCTTGTGATGTCAGTGAATTAAAGGATTTTAGACAAGAAAATACAAAATGCACATGATTATTATGTTTCAGTTATTTGAAACATGAAGATAAATCCTTATACAAAAAGAAAAGTTTGGTTGTCCTTTATTTTTACGAAGAAATTCAATATATTAATAAAGCTCTCCCTTTTATTCATATATCTGTAATACTATGTTTTATCTAATTATTATAAATTATCATTTCTGTATTAACTAAAATTGCTTTTTCAGGAATTATTTAATAAATGAGCCGTGGCCAGCGATTTTTGTCTAGGTGGTCATAGAAAATTGAAATTTATTTTGGCTGAATGATTTTGTTTATACTGATACATGTATTATTTTAACAAACTGAGTGTTAGCCTTGGCTTATCGTAAATTTTACCATGCTGCCTTGTTGATATTTAGACAACAACAAGATGATAAAATATCACACAACATCATTTAGCTTCTGTCAATTGTGACTCCACAAGAACTTAAATCATTGGATTTGGCTCAAATTATTCTATAGCAGTCTTGCAGAATAACTTTCTATTAATAAATGCTAGCTTCTTTTTATTTTGCTGGCAATAAAACTTACATATAATAAATTCTCTCTTTATAAATATTAGTCTATTAAAAATTTTAATATGCCACAGATTTATTGTTTTACATTACTTTTAATGTTTTCCTTTCTTCAAATTTCATTCTTTATTATTATTTTAATTTGAATTATTTTAAATTACTTATTTAACAAGAAAAAAAATGCTTGCTTTTTTCTTTTCTTTCAGTGAAAACAAAATTACTATGAATATTATACACACACAAGCAAACTTTCTATTTTATTCTTATGTATTTTTTAAAATATAAACTTTTTGCATTATTTTTAATGAAAAATAAGTTGATTTTTTAGACATATTAAAAATATCAAACATTTTTGTAAAGCTTGTGAAATGGACTATTTTGCATGTTTTATTCTTTAACAAAAAACAACAACAACATTAAATGGTTTTCTTCTTTGAAATCAATTATTAAATATATATGATGTGTTTTTAGCATTTTAGAAAAAATATTTTATTTTTGATGTATTTAAAATATATAAAACATGTATGATTATATTTTCAGAAAACTGATGATTTGAAGAAGGACGAGAACGGAATAGATACAATGTTCCAGAATGATCAACGGGCGGCACAAAACCCATAAACATCCTATCAACACACTGTGATCTACAATGATGCATCGACTTTCATCTACTATCATCTCATCAATATCTGGGATAATTATGTTATGTACAATTTTCATGTTACACTTGCCCCCCACCCACTTTTTTTTAAACAAGGTCTCGGTTGAATATAAAGATTACTTGTAAATTTTTGTTGTTGTTGTATTAAATTGTATGAGAATTTTTTAATATTTGATACATCATGTTAAATGTTTATATACCATGTTACATGGTTTCTTTATATGATGATATGTCCTATGACCTCTTTCTATGAATGTGTCACATGACTCTTCCCAAGTATGTCATGTGACATGAATAGTTCTTTTTGTGTGTCACATGACTTTCAAAGTATGTCATGTGACATGACTCTTCCCTAGTATGTCATGTGACATGAATTGTTCCTTTAATCACATTATATAACATTTCTCTTAATCATATTGTTTCATACTTTTTCCATAAAGGTTATGTGATATAATTTATATCTTATGATCATGTCACATGGCTTGTTTCTATAATCATGTCGAAGTTAGTAATTTTGATCTTGTCAAATTTATGTTTTTAGGATTATGTTAAAGTTTTGGGTTTTTAGGATTTTTAGATCACAATGCATTATTTTGAATCTGTATCATTTGATATGACATTTTCATGTGGTTTTTTATCATAATGTTACTTTCAATAATCATGTCACATGTTTGTTTTCCTACCATTTATTTTGTTACAAACTATATTTGAAAGTTAAATTGATCAAAGTAAAAGACATTATTTTGTTAAACAAGTAATGTTGAAATAGGATACCCATTTCTATCCAATTCTCTTTCTGTCTTATGTCCTGATGCACAAGTTATTATGCACAAAACTTAAAGTCTGTTTCTGTTGTCAAAAAATCTGTAGTGGATTATTTTATGGGGGATTAATTTTGTTTGTAAATAGGGGAGTCAATTTTATTATCAATTTGGGTTTATTTATTCTTTTTTACTTGATAAAGACTTGGAAAAAAAACACATGTGTTCATATTGCAGATTTAATCATTAATTTGGGGCTTGTGCAAAATGTTTATTACTAACAAAAGATAAAAAGAGATAGTATTGTTTCGCATCCAATACTCAAAATAATTGACACCATACCATATTAATGGATTAAAGATATTAAATGTTGCATTATGGGTTATAGATATTGCAGTTGAAATCATGATATGAATTCCTCTAGGTTGAGCAATTTTGTAAATGATATTGACCTCATATGTTGTATACATTGTACCATCACTTTAGTGCAATAACTGATTAACTGCTATTAAATTTAGAAGGACTTATTACGTTATTGCACTAAGGTGACTGTAAGTTTTGTCGTGAAGAAATCCTCATTATTCCAGCGCATCTTGACTGTGTTACATTTAATTCAAAATGAATAGGGTTGCATTTATGAAACATATTTAAGGTGAAACATGTTTCATTTTTTTGTTGTTTTGTGTGAATTTTTAATTGTTAAAATTTGAAGTTTCTAAAACTTATGTATATTAATGTTAAATCTGAAATACATGTATTGTTTACTGTACAGATGTTGGATGCTTTAAGGACTTTGTTCAAATTGTTAACATAGTTTTTTTTAAAGTGTGAGAAGCTATATATCATGGTTGTTACAAAGAACATGGTTTTCTTAACCAATCGAAAAGTCACATGACAGAAGAATCATGTGAACCGTCCAGTTTTAAAATGATATATGCAATAATATGTACTCATAATGCCAGAAAAAAGAATGTCCGGATAGGAAATCACAATGTAAGCTTCATCATTTGATATAAAACTAGCCTGTGACTTACAGAACTAGCTACAAATATCACAGTATTATGATATCGGTATGAATTTATGGTCTGAATTACGTTAAAAATGAGGTGCTTCAGTGACATTTTCATACTTGTGATGCAATGATTTAATGCTTTGTAGGATTGAATTTATTATTTTTATGTTATTGTTTTGAAAGTGTTAAAAATTACTTGTCCGTATGTACTGCTCAGATATCTATGTATTACATGCCATTGACTTTGGTCATGCTTGTTTGTTAATGTTTATGAAACAAGATAGTGTATACTTACTTTAAGCATTGTGCTTGTTAGTGTCAACTTGCCTATTCTTATACATGTCAACCTTAATCTAATAGATGTGTTAATTACATAAAAAATTATTGTGACAGTGCAGAACAATTGAACAAATGCCTAAAAAACTACCAAATTGCTGTTTCCGTTAAACATGTGTTTTGTACTCAATTGCCACACTCGGTGGCAAGAATATTTTGTCCATTATGCAAATGAATTTTTTACTTAATTGCCGCAGTCAACAACATTTGAACAAATGCTCTTGAAAGTAGCTGAATGTGAATGTCTTATCTAATGTACAAACAGTTGGACTAACATTAGATAGATCTTTGTTTAAATCCATTACAAACTATTGTGATATATGTTTTATAGTATAAAAACGTGTCAATATCTGACCAGATAACTTACGAATAATATTGATAGATTGCATGTATGGTGTGAAATGATTAACGCTTTCGTGTTATTAGGAAAGTAATTGAACTGTTATCAACTAAACCCATAATATAGCCAACACCATCAACAGCCTAAGTCCGTCTTTTACATCACCTCTTTATTGTCCTTTTATGGTGATAGTATGAATCCCAAATATGGGAAATTCTGTTTTTGCTCAATCTATCTCTCTACCTAAAATTCCTGAAATAATGATCATGTGTAATGTTTAACTGGGTAATGTACTACATGCCCATAGTCCCATGACTAACTTAATAATTTTCAATGTAATATTCTTGGTCAGATATTGATACAAATGTGGGTGTATTTAATTTATATTTTATTAGAAAATGCTTTATATATACGTTTATGCCTGTACATTATAATGTAAATATGGAAAATGCTCATTTTATATCAGTTTGTTATGTCATATATTTACAACATTGTCATATAACATACATGGGATCAGTTTTCCAGATGAATGGTATTTATTTCACTGAGGGAAAAAGTTTTTTTAAGTATTTTTATGCCACCGCAGCATCTGCGATGCGGTGGCATATAGTGATTCACCTGTGTGTGTGTGTGTGTGTGTGTTTGTGTGTGTGTTTGTGTGTGTGTTATATAGATTATATAGTGAACTTAAAAAATCTTCTTGTGAAAAACCACTAGTCCAATTTAAACCAAACTTGGCAGGATTGTTCCTTGGGTGAAGGGCTTCCAAAGTTGTTCAAAGAATTTCATTCCATGCAGAAATCTGGTTGCCATGGCAACCAAAAGGAATTATAAGAATAAATTAAAAAAATCTTCTTGTAAAGACCCAAAAGGCCTAGAGCTTAGATATTTTGCATAAGGCATTTTCTGGTAGACCCTTACCAAGATTGTTCAAATTATAGCCCTTGGGTCAAAATCGGCCCCGCCCCGGGGTCATTGATTTTCGCTATATGTACATATAGTAAAAACTTAAAACACCTTCTTGTAAAGACCCAAAAGGCCTAGAGCTTAGATATTTTGCAAAAGGCATTGTCTGGTAGACCTCTACCCAGATTGTTCAAATTATAGCCCTGGGGTCAAAATTGGCCCCGCCCCAGGGGTCATTGGTTTTCCTTATATGTATATAGTAAAAACTTCTTCTAGCAATTGACAAATGCTAGAGGTTAGATATTTTGCATGAAACATTGTGTTGTAAACCTCTAGCAAGATTGTTCAAATTATAGCCCTTGGGTCAAAATTGGTTCGGCCCCAGGGGGTCATTGATTTTCATTATGTACATATAGTGAAAAAAAAATTGTCTGAAGGTTCAAGGCATAGAGCTTTGATGTTTGATATATAATATCATCTATAGGTCCTCTACCAAAGTTGTTCAAATGTCAAAAATTGGCCCTGCCCGGGGGCAGTGATTCTCATTATGTACACGTAGTAAAAACAGAAAATAAAACAAATGTTTTCTGAATGGGAGAAAGCTATAGCTTAGATATTTGACTTGAAATGTTGTTTGGTGGACCGGTATCAAGATTGTTATTAAACCCTTGGGTCAAAATTATGCCTTGCCCAAGGGGACAGTGACCTACTTTCTTGTCCTTTGATGCACAGCAATGACATTTTGACCATGTGCACAGTTTTAGTTGTAAAATTGAACTTTAACCTAGATTTTGATGATGTGACCTACTTTCTTGTCCTTTGATGTACAGCTATGAAATTTGAACCATGTGGTGGCATAGCATTTTTCTCAAATGCAATCTTGTTTCTGAAACTTGTATAATTTCTAATGGAAAATAGAAAAGGGTTTCATGTAATATTAAACGAATATATTTCACATTTTTGTATTTATCTTTTATCACACACCCGTGCCGATTTTGCGACTCCGTAAATATGGTATTGCACGGCCGTGCATATATTTTGACGTGACGTCATTAGCGTTATACAAACATAGTGTAAAGACGCGCTAAATGCTAGCGTTATACTATAGGCGCGTCAATGAAAAATGACTCTTATTTCACTTTAAACGGTCTATATTTTGGGTATGTGATAAATAGAATATTTAATTCGTGTAAGTTCATTACTGAATTTATTGCACTCGTTGAATAAAATAATATTATGCTCGCCAGAGGCTCGCATAATATATTTTTATTCAACTCGTGCAATAAATTCAGTATTGAACTTACACTCATTCAATATCCTCTATTTATGAAATTTGCACAAGAATTTAAATAGTAATCAGTTAAAAATATTATAAGGCAAAAACAGGACCCCTTCCTATATTTTCAATGATAGTATTATAATTCATGAATCTATGTTAAAAATATAACAGCATAGGTTCATACTTTATTTTATAAAAAGAATTAACTTTTTTTTAAAACTTTGTTTCAAATTGTATTAATTACTAATAGTTCAAATCATATGACTGTTTCAAAGCTTTTATTTATAATTTTCCCCTCCCTGTTGTTTTTGAGTTATATATTATGTGAGTTACGCAAACAAAAAATTAACAGATATGTTACTTTTTATGGATTTTTTTTTTTGCTAATTGAATACATATTTTAGAACCATTTTATTGAAATTGAAATATCACAAATTTCTCAAGCATTAAAATATTTCTTTGTATTCATTTATATTATGTTATATGTACATTCCATATATAACCCCACAAAAATAACATGTGAATTTTTATAATGTAATCTATAAAATTAGTTGTAGCTGGAGTAATGTATTGTTTTCTTTTTGTTTATACACAACAAAGCTGTTTTATCTTATCTTGTCATATGTTGTTCATTTCAATGCAAATGGTGTCTAAGAAGACAAAGGGAAGTAATTCTGTCAGACATTTGTGACTTTCTAATAAACAGTAAATGAAAAATGTCAATATAAATATAAAAGTGATTTAATGGTTTGTAAACCATACGTTAATATAATTGAGAAATTTTATTGGCTTAAATTACATTTTTGTTACTTGAAATATATGAACTAAATTGAACAAATCTTTTATTAAAAATGAATCTGCAGTTTTATTTTATACATATAAAAATATGTAGAAGTTTATGTTTAACTATTTTTTTTATCTTTGTGTGTATTTTATACTAGTATGCATTTTAGAAATTTTGTGGGAAAATTAATAATTAAATAAATAAAAAACAGGCCATTATACATGATTGTGATTATTTACTCCCCAATGGTTTATAGTATATCCATACTTATAATACTGCACATTTGTAACATGGGTTTTTATTGGATAATCATGACGTTCATATTATTAGTTATAAAGATTTTTGACTTGTTATATGGTTCTATACAAACAGTTGTTTGTAAATATAACCCGAGTCGCTAGACGAGGGTTATATTTCAAACAACTGCTTATATACAGCCATATAACCTGTCAGAAATATTTATAACAAATTTGTAATACAGCAAGCATCATTTTTTAGAGTAATAAAGGGAGATTTCTTTATAAATTGACAGCAGCCTTGTATATAAAACTATATAAACATCACGATTATCCCATAAAAAGCGACGTTACAATTGTGCAGTTTTATTAAGTTTTATACACACGACTGCTGTCGATTTATGAATAAATCTCACCTTTTTCTCTAAAAAATGATGCTTGCTGTATTATAAATTTGTATAAATATTTATGACATGTTATATGGCTGTATATAAATGGTTGTTTGCAATATAACCCTTGCCATAATGGCTCTGGTTATATTGCCAAAAAAAATTTATATCGCGTCAAATAACCTGTCAAAAATCTATATAGCTGATAATCTAAAGTTGATGAGATTTTGTACTGGGAGTTTTACTGTCTGACTGTTCTTAAAGTGCTGAGTCATTAGAAATATATAACACAGTCACCACTATTCCCAGAGGCAGGTGTTGAACCTAAATGTATGGTCTAAACGGTGGATAAAAAGAGGAGTGTGGGGGGTTACTGAAAATTTTCTGTATACCTGCAATTATGTTGCAAAAACTGTTTAATTTGATCTTAATTTTAAGATGACCTTACATTTGGATTAAGTTTAGGCATGGTTACTTGTCAGTTTTAAAAAAAGAAACAACAACAAGAGAATAGTTTATTTTGCTTAATTATCTACTATAATTTTCCCAAAACCCATCGCAGATACTCATTTCCAACTTGAAACACTTGTTTACCACCAAAGGTAGATTTCGCTGAGCAGTTTATTTTCCTTCAAAATTATGCCTCATTAACACTTTGTTTTTAGAGTTTGGATAGCTCTTGATGGTACATATATTTTATACTCCTTTCCCTCTAATCAGCTTGACAAAAATAGTGACTTTTAAATCTGATCATTTTACAATGTTTCATGATGTAATACTGTATGATCTTTATGTAGATTTAGATGATTTATATACCTCCACAAACAAAGTAAACGGGATAATATAGGAGTGAGTTTCTGGGTCAGTGGGTTGGTTGTATGATTTTCGGACAATGACTTACAGTTAGGAATGAGATTTTGTACTCAAACTTGGTTATTAGCATGCTTATGTTAAGACCTCATTTGTGATTGCTTTTGGTCATCCTAGTGCCAAGGTCACTTTTACTAAAATAGAAAAATGGCTTTTGATCAGCAGCTAAAGGTAGGAAAATGAGATAATGTAATCAAACTTGATATATAGCAAGGTTATGTAAAGATTTTCCTAATGTAGAGATGAAAATCGCAACCATTACTATAATAACGAGCCCCAGAAAATGTAAAACAATACCTCCCTGGAAAATTCAAATGGTGTGTTTTGCAAATGAAACGTTTTACATATTTCACCTCTCGTAAATCTGCAAAATGTTAATGGGAGAGTAACCCGAAATGCATTTTAGATTCCCTCCCGAATATGTTTATCATGTGCTTCTCATAGATCGCAGTAGATAAAGTTTAAGACTTTTGAAATATAAGGGAAGACAAAGAGTGAACTGATTAAGAAATTAATTGTAACCACTTGTAACTAAATAACACTAAGATTGTAGGTTAGTGTTTACTTCAGTTAGTCTATGTCACGAGAGTACGCCCGCCCGTTAAAGCTTATAATTTATAAAAGTATATTTCGCTATCGAACCCAGGACATGTCAAATGTAAATTTTGAAACGAAAAGTGACCATGTAATTTCCACAGAGTGTAGATTTAGAGTCGAAGGTAGGTTACTACATCGGCCAAACAGTAATCCAAGACAAAAATCGTAAGGTGAGGCAGCTATGATAAGGGCTGTTGTTGCCACCAAAAGGCGTTGTCGTTCAAGCCGTCTACACGTACTATGAGGTCACGCACCCTGGTAACTTTCCTCGTCGTCCCTGCCTACTTTGTAGAGCAATTCCTTTAAGCTTGAGTCATCGGGGCATCGACAACAAACTAAATACAACGTGGTCGTGCTGCCTTAAAGGTAATTATCTCCTCTCAACGAAGTACACCTAGTAAGGGGATGAGAGAGCTCTGAGCCTCTGATATTGTATCAGGAGACATAATAGAACAGTACCATAGTGATAGACAAGCATTGATAGTGCCAGACGCTCAAATCCATTCACCAATCATGTCAGGGAGTGTATGAAGCAATCGCTGTTAAAACAATATAATATACTCTTTAAATATGCCAAGTTTAAACATCTAAAAAACGAATTTCGGACAAGAACTACCTAGCTATATTAAATACGCAAAAACTCGTTGTCTCAACCAAAAGTTCGGGAAGCATTATTAACCGTGTTAATGTTTCTTCTCCAGTCAAAACAAAACATGTAATTACAGCACTTGCATAATGAACTTATTGATAAACAAGCTTTTAAATCATAAGTAAACGTTCACTCTTTGGAATGTTTTATTGTCAACAATTATTTCAGGACATGATCGTGGATGAATCAAATCATTACAGTGTGTGATCCATCTTTTATGTACCGAGAACTTTTTTGTGATTTATGACTTTGTTTGTCATACTATTTAACATAATAGAGTTTAAACTTATGTGGAGAAAGTCCTCTTTACCTATATTTCTAAAAGTAAGTTGTGATCCCGTTATCGTAACACACTATTATTTAATTCCTGTTTTCACAGACCACCCACGTTAACATCAACATTCCTTGTAAGTCCAGTAATTCTAATCAAAATATATTTGGAGATATGGAAAAAGTCTCTGTTCCTTCCGCCCCACGTTTTTGTGCGGAACGTAAATAAAGATTTATTTGAGATATCAACTGGAAACGTCATATGTAGATAGAACTTATTAAGAAAAGTGCACAAGAATGATTACTCTGCCCTTTATTGTTAGATAAATAGACTTATTTCAGTATATCACAAAGCATGCATGATGCATATATGCATGAATACAAAAATTCACGAACCGATTCTCCCTTATTTCTAATTGTGGTCCTTGAGTTATTGCCCTTTGTTATTATTATTTCTATTACATGTATTATTATTTTCATTTTTTTCTGGATAATATCTCGAAAAGTATTTTAAATTTCATAGGTAGATAAATCTCATTCAGGGGGAGTGCAATGCAAAAACTTATTAACTTTTTGAAATAGGTAAATACATGGAGTTGTCATTTAAGAGGAATGCAATGCGCAGGAATGCTAATTCTACCAATCATATTTTTTGTCACTTTCATGCATTTTGTCTGGATTATAACTCGAAAAGTGTTTGGGATATCAATTTGAAAACTTTTAAAGTGGAAAGATCTCATAAAGGAGTGCAGTACACAAGACAGATAAATTTACAATTATAATCTTTGATTTATTACTCTTAGTTATTGTTTTATTTTTATTTTGTTTATTTTGCTTATTTTTGTACGGAGCGTGAGATATCAACATGAAATTTCATAGAATATTGCATTGCCCTAGCAGTATAACACTACTTTTCATATTTTTTTAGTTATTTCCCTTTGTAAAGTTTCAAGCTTAATTTTTGTTCGGAGCATGTCTAAGAAGTATTTGAGATATCACCTTGAAACTTGAAGGTGGACAAACATAATTAAGGAGTGCAGTGCTTAAGAATGATGATTCTCTTTCTAATAACTATTGAGTTCTTGCCATTTGTTATTTTCATCCAGATTATACCTTAACAAGTGTTTGAAATATCAACTTAATATTTTATATAGGGGTATAGATCTCATCTATAGGAGGAATGCATTGAACAAGTTTAATAGCTCTTCAATTCATTCAGCAATTGTCTTTTGTTCCTTTTCCTGCATATTTGTGTTCAGACGAAAACTCATACAGCTATGTAATTTTCATCATCATTGGAGGACAGGTCACTGTTAGAATTAATGTTGTTGACAAGAATGGAAAATCCCATTTCATTATTTGAAGTTATTGCCCTTTGTTATTTTTTCATGCTTAATCTCCACGAATGTGTCATCTTGCATAAATGCATGAACCTAGCTGCTGAAATAACTTTTGATAATATTTGTTTGCAATAAATTTAGAAAGTTCCCGATTGTATGTATGCTAGTTACCATATCAATAGTTTAAACGAATAATTTTATGTTCCTTTCATAGTGAGGCATTCCACCTTTTGTCTAATAATAGATACAGACCTTTTATTGCCTTTATACATCCTTATAACTAGATTAAAAAAACAACATATGTTTATATTTTTTCATATATTATCATGAAAATATGTTGTAACATATGTAATAGAAATATCTCCAAAGACCGCCGAGGCCGTGCCAATACAAAGACCTCCGCATAACGACAGTATGAAAACATAGATGTGCTTTAGTTCCAAATAATAGCCACCCAAAGAACCTAGTTTAGAACCTAGGTACGCACCTACTAGGCCTAATTTGAACGTTATCACACAATGCACGATGTAAGTTAGTGGGTTTTCTGAGATCACAGTTCCGTTTAGAATAAATGCAAACGTCAATATCAAGGAAATCACGCTGAAATATGCTATCACTTTACTCACAATATTAATTTTGTTATTTGTTCTCCCAGACGCTTTAACAATCTCCTGAAATACTCGTATTTGACGCGATTCCGTTAAATCTGGAAGACTTTCAGCATCTTCATATTTTCCAAAAGTTCTGTAAGAGTATCTTGCAATGATGTCTGAAAATTTTGGCGCCTTATTTTTCAGCAGTTTAGAAAATGCCAACGCTGTTGGACTTATTTTACCCCTAGTCTCTTCCATTAAGATATTCCGTAATTTCGAAGCTTTCTTTGCTGCTCCTTTCCATACATCAAGTCGTTGGCATGGTGACAAAACTTCTGCATGTTTTGATTCGTGAAATATAGTCTCCGCAGTCGTTTCAGCAATTTCAATATAATGTTGTCGTAGCTGCGAGTTTCTTATGCTCTCTATAGCAAGTTTAGCAGAATTTCCTGCAAAGTCGCTCATTATTCATCTAAAATAAATGAAAGGAACGTTCATAAATATTTACTTCTTTAAAAAGGACAAACATATATATTTCATAATGTTTAAATAATGGTTTTAGAGAATGCAAGATGCTTGGTGTCTGAAGAAAGTAGCGATCAATGTGAAATAATTTGTGATATAATTAAGTAGCTGAGGTAAAATGAGTCTTTAAAACAATATCCTAATTGAAATATTTTAAGTGATCCGTTTTCCCCTTTTAAATTTATCTTTGTTTCAGTTATATTTAATCAAGGTATGTAGTTAATTGGTACATTTACTATCATTTACTCAACGTGAAAACAACAGAACTGTGGCAACTAGAATTTCCTTAAATAAATATAATAACTTTCTGTATTGTAAAAACATTATACAGGTAAATATAGGTAAAATTTTCAATTTTAAGACACATGATAAGTTTAAAAAATTACCTAATAATGAAACATAATACATGTACAACATTTTTTATTCAATATTACAATTTATAGTCATACAATTCAAACCTAATGATAAACTAATAAAAACTGATCATGTCTGTGTAATTAATTTCTTGTGCTATGAACATTGTTCATTTTTTAAAAAGAGCTTATAATTATCTTTATTACAAAATTACATGTGAATACGATACTGACGGTAAAAAAATGATATGAAAATACTACTACTACTACTACTGTAGCTACTATACTACTCACATTTTTCGAGCATATTTCGCATATGATGTTGATAAATTTTATTCAATCCTTATTTTTCTTTTTTTTTTATTTAATGTGTTCACAAAAATCCAGTTAAAGCATGATAGCTAGTTTGTACAATGATGTTATATAAAATTCTACCTTATATAAGTTACATGATTAATTAATTGTCTCATTTATTAAGGTCATTTTGCTAATCACTAACTTTCTCTGTTTATCAATTGGACTGGAACACCAAATTTTGTATACAAGTTACGTGAAGGAAATACAATTTAATAATGCGTTATTTAGTGAACAACATTGGTGTACGTGAAGAATCACTGTACATCACTTTAAATAGTTCAAATATTCCACCTACCAAAATAGCTCATTTAACATCGGTTAACTTCGTTATGTTCCGTGATTTAGTCGAGCACACACCTGTGATGAAACTATGTCATCACGTCCAAGTATCCATGCACCCCATCCAACAACACCTCGTATCAGTTGGTGTTTGTACTTTCAATTTATTTATAAAATTTTGTGGTAACAAGATTTTATTGTGGCCCCGGATCATGTCGACTGTCACTTGATATAAGAAAACACGGAAATCGACGAAATAAGTCGAACTACCATATGCATGTATGAATTCTTTGATATTTCACAAGTTCCAATTACACCAAAAATAATTCCATTCTCTTCTTCACTAAGGTGTTTTAATTTTTAAAGTCGCGCACTCAAGTTTATGATTTCCTTTTTGTAGATTTCTTTCACACTGAATAACCACGAACGTGTAATTTCTTTGAAAACATAACGCATGCATTAGTAAATAAAACTAAACGTGAGGATGATGACGGCTGAGGAGACAGAAGAATAATTACATCAACGAACTACTTTACTGGTCAAGTTTTGCTAACCCCGGGGCAATGATGACACACTCACTCGTTATTGTTTCAATTATTAACGTGTTGAATATTCACTTCACCTTTTCTTTCTTTCGTATTAGTAGTTCAAACTGAATGAAACGAAGACGTACGGGAAAACGAATACTAAAAGGGGATATAATTAACTGGTGAATAATGGTATGGACAACACGTAGCAAAGTGTTATAACATTATGCCTCGGAAATAAATAATTATTTACTTCTTTAGAAATGGTAAACATGATTTTCATAACATTCAAATGATGGTTTTAGAGCATGTTAAATTCTTGTTAACTGAACAAAACAGCGCTAACTATGAAATAATTTGTCATAAAAGTAGCAAAATGTAAACAAAGAAGTATTTTGACATCCATACAAATATTAATTCACTATGACTGTACAAATTGCCATAAAAACAACAGAATAAAAAGATTGTTCAGATTATTGTTCAGCCAATGAGTATCCACTAAGATTTTTCCACATAAAATGATTGAAAAATGTTACTATTTTCTTCTTTGTTTTGGAGATTTGTGAACAATTCATTAAAGGCCTGGACCAACAACTTATGAGAAAACAATCTCCCTTCTTCCAGAATGATCATTTTAATTGTGCAGAATTACTCCAAAATGAAAAGCGTGCTTAAATGGGACAAAGAATTGCACAAGAAAATCGATTTTCAGTTTAAAATCGAGTATATTTCTACATCATATTTTTGCCTTTTGCCGTTTTTGCAGTTGATACCTATAAGAATAGGTTTTTGGACCTCGGTGAAGCTTCATTAATTACTAAATGGGAAGGGGGGAATAAAAATCTATATTTATAAGGGAATATAAAGTATGAAATAGGGAATTGAAAAACAAAAAATATCAATTGACGAATCAGGGATGAAATAATGAAGAATAAACAATTTGTGTTACCTGATTACAACGTGTAATATTCCATCGTATCAACAATAATTATGATGCAATACATGTATGTAGACTCATACAATAACAAACAAATTATTTACAAAAAAAATAATACATGTAATAAAATAAACAAAAATGAAATGGTCAGTATGATTATGCAACTGTCAAAATCCATTTCAGATGCACTACTTTCCTGTATTAAAGATTTGAGTTACTAGCATTTTGTGTTAAATAACAAAACTGAACAAATACAACTGAAATCATGTAAATGTGAAGAACTCAATATTCACGAAAAATTAAACAGTTTCAAGGACTACAAAACTAAAATGAGATTATTTGTTTCGTTTCTTTTTATTCACAGATAGTTTTAGCAGGGCAACAGGGACTTAGGTAATTAAAAGAGTTAGAATTCTTACTAAAATCTTTTTAATTACAGAAAATGTCAAAAATTGCTATATAAATGCAACAACAGTCCAAATCTTATTGCATAAATATCTAAAACATTGTTTGTAAACAACCTATCATACATAAATGTAAACAACCTATCATACATAAATATGCACGACACTGTGCTGGCGGAATCTAATAAAGATCTAGATAAAGTTTTAAATGTTTCTATAGATCATATAATTATACTTCATTTACATATTGCTCTGATAAACAAAAAGTTAAGAATGACAACTGCATATAAATGTATAGAATATAAACGTGGATAATAAAATATTGACATTTATTTCTTTATTTTGATGCGTCCTTATTTAAGTGTGTGGTGAGTATTATTTAATTTATACTCTATTTTTTAATGAAGTACGTATGCACCAGAAGATTACAAGATTTATTCATTAAGACATTTATTGCGCTTATAATTATTCTTGTAGTGATTTTTTCTCTTATGGCAATCAAATTAAATATTTCTTCACAGACACTTAATTGTGGTTCGCTTATTTAATAAGTCGTGGGCACGACATTAAAAATATCCGGGGAACTTAAAAGTCCAGAAACTGAAAAAAAGGTTTTCGTTGAAGCCAACTTTGAAAAAAAGTAATTGTGTGCAAAGGTAAATTAAACTACTGGCATTCTAATATTTTTTATTTTAGTTAAATGGCTTCATTTTGGTTAGAGAATGCATTGTCAAAGACTTATAAGACTATTTTAACGTTTCTGTTTTAATGTAACCATTTTCAGAGTTTTGATTGTGTGCATGTACTTCAATTCATGAAATCAGAAATTAAATTGATATATATCTGTGACGAAATCTCCAACAAGTGATTTCTGTGTGGTATTTTAAAACTTGTTAAAGGGGCAATTAGAAGAAATACAGTGAAATTAACCTTGCATATGAACAGTTTCCATGAATTAAATTTTGTAAAATTTCTCCCGAGATTGAATGTGGTCTCGAATGAAAGCGTATATACTTTCAAATGCATTAAAATTATGTATGTTTCACCGCAATATTAATTATTTCTCTCCGACTTTTGATATTAACTTAATAGAACTTAATTGATCACCAATGCAGATGCTATTATTAACAATGTACATTTATCGTCCCTTTTCATTAGGTCGGTCAAAAATGACAGTAATTATATTATAATACATTCTTAATTTTTGGTGTATTCTGCTTAAATTCGAGAACAAATATGTTAATAAAATTAATACAACCACGGATTTATATTACAAATCCGTGATACAACTGAATACAATATGAGTTGAATTGTCCGAATTCGAACATTCATGGTTTTCATTTGTTTAAAATGACATATTTTTGTTATAAATTTTAAGTATACTGTGTATACAGTATAGTGAATAATTGAGGGAATGGCAAAGCAATTTTAAATATATATACGGCAAGGGACGGAAACTACGGACGATAGCAGTAGGTACTCTTCAAGAAGGAGTATACCGGCAAAGTTTAGTTTTTGGGTTTCGATAAGTACGTGATTTAATTTAATTTCAAAGATTGTTTGATTTGTCATTTCATCAGGACAATTCGTATAGCCCTATTTATAGTGTTAATGACCCTTGGAAGTTTTTAACTTCATTCGAGAAGTTTCTGTTAGTGAATATATCTCTCTTTTTCAGGTCTAGGATTTCATGATATTTATGGACAGTCTGTAAATTTTTGGACGATCCATAATTTTACAGATTTTTTAATCTGTAAATTTACAGACATGAACTAAGAAAATAGTAGAAGTTGCATTAAAATTCAAAACCGCAGGTAAAAATGGATAAGGTTACTTATTATATGAATAAATGTAACAGTATGGTAAGATTCAGAACAATTTGATGACTTTCAATTTTCACTTTTAACAAAAATTTCAATTGATTGATTTATTTGTGTATATATATATATGTCATATTACAAAACAAATTAAGACAATTTATCACAGATATATCTATCACATTGTTTTTAACACAGTAATCAGTAATTAATTGAAAAATAATAACTTTACATTCATAATTAAATCAAAGATCTTGTTGACTTCAAGACAATATATACTACACAGGAGTAACACGTTTATCACAGGTTCACTCAAGCATGAGATTTTCTTAAATATGTTACATAAAGACTATCTCATCACATTATGGGTAACCAAGTTATTATTATTAGCCATATTTGGGACTTAGATTTTTTCTTATTCTTCTATGAATTGTTTAAGTAATAGAAGATCAATTATTATGTGTGATATCTAGATGCATAATAATTTATAGACCATGAGACAGTGATAAATAGATAAGGCCGTTTCCACCACATTTTAATTATCATATTTGTTTTAATTTTGAAATAAAGTTGGTAAAAACACGTATACATTGGATGCAACGGGCACCCGCAAAATTTCTATCCAGTCCGCGCGACAAACTTGTCGAAATAGGTCAACACAAAAACTTGCAGAATTTTCAAGAAAATCGGATTGACCTCCTTATTCAGATAGAAGAAATTTTAGACCAATGAGGACAAAGGAGGCAATCCTCTCTAAACCAATCAAAATTAACTTTATAAAGCGGGTGTTCGGTAGAACTTACAAAATTTACAAAATTTAAAACAAACTCTGCTAATTACAAACATGTAATTAATTATATGCATCCCAATGTATACGGTTTATACATACGGTAAATAGAAACCAACATAAACAACAGTCAGCCCACATTGAAATGGTCAGAAAACGTTCCTGACATGCCTTCTCGCACATAAGTATGCGAACTCTACAATTATAGGTAAATTTCTAAAAAATTTTAGTTAGATTAAATAAATATTAGTCCTGTTATAAAAGACGGTAATCTATATAAACGTCTTGGCCGATTTTAAATTAAGTGCTTTTAATCAATAAATTTTAGATTTCTCAAACTTAGTATGGGATTGCCCCATCTCCCTCCCATGGCAGAGGTTGTACGTAGAGACAACCCTGTCATGGGGGATATGGTATGCACATAAACACATGTACAGATATAATAACAAGTATAATAAACATCAGATCCCCATTTTTTTAATGATTATAAATGAAGTATATGCTCGCCCATATGGTCTCTTTCTGGTGGCGAGGGTAAACAAACACCAGTGATTTTTTTTCCAATTTTCAAAACAACCTGTGGCTTTCTGAAGGGGAAATTATAGCGCGATAAATCAGAAATGGGGAAAATCAAATTCCAACAAGTGAGAATGGAATTTACCCACACATTCAATAAAATTTTCAATTTCAATTCAATTTAACATGCATAGTACAAATCAGAGGCTATAGGGACAGCTTTCTGTCTTCTAGCTGATATAATAAGTCAGATGCTGTCGAGTCATGTTTCTGGTAAAAAAGTGCACAGGGCATTTCAGGGGAAAAATTGGCCTTTTAAGGGGAAAATATACCTATTTTGAGCTAGGGGAAACAGCCTTTATTCGGCTGTAAAATACAGGAAAAAACATCACTGAACACAAACACACTACACAGGATAACCCATGAAAGTTCAATATAAAAAAGAGAACTTATTTCCAATG